TTTTTTTGCGGTACGCGGGCCTCTCACTGTTGTGGCCTCTCCTGTTGTGGAGCACAGGCTCCAGACGCACAGGCTCAGCGGCCATGGCTCACAGTCCCAGCCGCTCCGCGGCATGTGGGATCTTCCCGGACCGGGTCATGAACCCGTGTCCCCTGCATTGGCAGGCGGACTCTCAACCACTGCGCCACCAGGGAAGCCCTTTTTAACATCTTTTAAAAAATATGGAACACTTTACGAATTTGCATGTCATCCTTGTGCAAGGGCCATGCTAATCTTCTCTGTATCGTTCCAACTTTAGTATATGTGCTGCTGAAGCAAGCACTCGGTTACATTTTTTATCAGGTGTTTTTGGTCAGGAAAGATATCCCTGACCGTGTTTGAGTTCCCAAGCAGTGGGAGCTGTAGTCCCTTGTGCCTTTTGGGCCTACTGGTATAAGGTTTGGAATGACGAGGCCTGTAGATGGTTCGGTGTATGTCGTCATCCCTTCGCACTCAGCCTCAGCTGTCCCCTTGATTGTTATTTGGGAGAAAGCTGTTCCCCAAGGGCATCCCCATTGTGGAGTGGGTGTCTCTAAGTTGGACATGCCCTCGAAAGCCCCCTGCCCTGCCTCAGTAACTTTCCCCACTTGGGCATCCTTGTTTTCTATCCCAGGACATCCTCTTTGATGCGAATACACACAAAGTGAAGAAATTTGTCCTACACACCAATTACCCTGGACATTATAATTTTAATATGTGAGTATACCTGTACCTGCCCCTCCAGGAAAGAGAGCTTGTGGCTTTGATGTTTGCTATTTCCTGGAAAGCAAACATTTCCTGAGTGTTGGCTCTGTTCCTGGTATAGTACCCATTTCCTTATATCTCTCCATTTATGCCCATTTTACAAATAGGGAAATAGATTCAGAAAGCTTGGCCTCTTATCTGAGGTGATAGGGTCTTCAGAGCCCCCAAGCTGTGCCCTTTTTGGTTTGACTCCAGTGCCCAGATCTGGCCTCTCCCAGGGAACACTGTGTCAGGCCCAGAGCCAGGGCTTTGGGCAAGTGTGCTTGATCCTGTTTTTCCTGGGGTGCAGAGTTGAGATGTGGGGGTGGTCAAGGCCTCCCAAGGGGTTCAGCCTTTACCCATCTGCCTTCTTTCTCTAGTTATCACCGCTGTGAGTTCAAGATCCCACTAACCGTAAAGAGAGGTGAGTAGTCAGTGTCCTCAGGGTAAGGAAAGGATTTTAGAATCAATCTCTCATGATGAGAAGAGATTGATCCACGCAGAGAGGGTGGCAGTGGTTGGGTTTGTGGCGTCTTTGCCCACCTGCTCCTGCCCATAGCCTCAGCTCCTCTGGGTTGGGCTCTGTGTTCTGGGGGCCACAGTGTTCTTCGTCTGTAGTCTCCTGGAGGCCCTCAAGGTCTTATCCTGTGACCATGGGATTGCTGGTTTCCAAACTTCAATCCCAGTGCATAGGGTGGCTAGGGCTGGGGTCACAGGTGGGCTGAGACATCTACCTGAGCAGGTGTGGAACTGAATCCGGGCCAGGCCAGATACCAACCACCCTGTGTTGTCTTTTCAGAAAACACAGATGGTCAGACAGAAACATGCACGACCTACAGCAAGGTAAGCTCCTATTTTCCCACCTGATGCAGTCTGAAAATGAGGTAGGCATGAGTCTGCCAGCAGTCTGGGTTCCCATGTCCTTTGGGCCAGCCATTTGTCACGGGTAGGGTCGGGTCCCTGCTAATCCCCTATCACCCGCATCCCTCTTACAGTGGGACAACATCCAGGACCTCCTGGGCCACCCTGTGGAGAAGCCTGTTGTCCTGCACAGGTGAGCGGGAGGTTGCTGCCTCTGATCACCCCATCCGGGTCCTCACAGCCCAGAAGGCCCAGGGAGCCCTAGCAGTGGGTATGGCTTAATGACAGAAACGACAAACTTCTGATGTTGCCACAAACATGCTTCCTGCTGCAACCCTGCGTGTTAGGACTAGGCCAGCTGTTCTGCATGTTTACTCACACCAGAGAGGCTGCCCCTTGGGATAGCTCCCCCCTCTCCCACCTATCTCCAGGTATGGGAACCTTTTTGCCTCTAGTTATTCAGAAAGGGAGGCAGTTTTGACTAGCTGTCCTGGGCCCCCTTTTCCCTATCAAAGCTGCAACCTGCTTTAGTTCACAGCCCAATACCTGGTTGCATCCTGCCTGACGTTCCCTCTCCCTCCTGACTTTGCACCACTCCAGTCCAACTGCATGTTAACTTTCTGTGCCAGCTGGACTATGTAGGATTTGGTGCTTGAATGAGGCCCATCACTATGCCTAGGACCTCAAGGGCCTGTGTGGGAAACACTCACAGCCATGAGGGACCACTGGCTAATAGCCCCCATCCCAAAAGGAACTGGATGCCCTGCCTGGCCTTGGCCTCTGTCTGCCCCTCTAACTGTGGCTTCCCCGGCCTCAGGTCCTCCTCCCCAAACAACACCAACCCATTTGGCTCCACGTTCTGCTTTGGTCTTCAGCGGATGATCTTTGAGGTAAGCCCTGGGGGTTGAGTGGCCGGTGGTCATGGCGAGGACAGGCAAGTGATTGAGAGGGAGATTGGGGAGGGCCTGAGGGCCCTGCTGGGCAGGTTAATCCAACAAGATGAGAGGAAATGGGGATACCACATTTATATTTGAAAATGTGAGTACAATAGGAAAGGTAACCACAGAGCAAGTGGGGCTCAGTCCGGGTGTGTTGGGGGCCTTTAAATGCCATGTGAATGAACGTGCTGTGGGATGAGTGGCTATAGAGGCCCCACTGGCTTGGGAGAAGAATGGGCTGCCCCTGTTTTCCCATCTGGATGCCATACCTTCAGCAGACCTCTAGCAGTTCCAGAAGGACTGGACAAATGGGTGTGGTGAAGTTTATATATCCCAGAGAAACAGGCAGACACAGGAGCAGAGATGACCCCCTTAGCATGAGTTGGGGGGTGTTGAGGGGTCAGTCCAGCCCCGTGTGCAGGTGGGTTGCACACACAACCTCCAGCCCCTGTGCATAGGAGCTGCCTCAAGTCCCTTCTCTTCAGTCACAGCACAGGACTGATGCCACTGCCGGTTTTTGTGGGTCTGATTGCCTGCTCTGCTTACATCCCTTCAACTCCTCCCCCTTGATTCGCTGTCCTCTTCTCATAACAGGTCATGCAGAACAACCACATTGCCTCAGTGACCCTTTATGGCCCCCCCAGGCCTGGTGCCCACCTGAGAACCGCGGAACTCCCCTAGGAACATCACCACCCATGCCCCTCTGCCCCATGGAACTGTGTATCGCATCCTGTTCAGCAGGCCACCCTGTGGGTTTTCTTGGACACCTTGCCAGTGTGGAAGGGCTGTTGTGATATTTTGAGGTGGGGCTCAGGCTGGGTGCTCTGCCATGGGGTGAGAGGCCCAAATATTCTTCTGTGCGATCTCAGCCTGCTGGTGCCAACAGGGGACACAGACTGCAAAGAGAAGCACAAACTCTGAGCCTTGATACCTGGACCCAGGAGCTCTCGACTAACGTGTAAGGAGACAGGGTTCTGTCTCCCCTGTCCCTGACACATTGGGAAAACTTGGGGCTCTTTCTCTGGCTGAGGACACAGGCACCCAGACAAGGACAGGGTCCTGCCTTTGGCCCAACATTGCCACATGACCCTTAAGGCAAGCAGGTAGCATGTCCGTAGTACTTGGTTGCAACTTTTGCACTACATCCACTTTAGTTACTTGATGAGCTGGCTGTGGCCAAGGTGGCCCACTTGCCCTTCCCTGTTTCTTTCTTGCACGTGCTCCCTGCCAGGCCCAGTAGGCACACCCAACTGGTTGAAACACAACTTTCTACCATCAAGGTACGTGCCCAGGCCTGGTTCCCACCCCTCTTGGAGCCAGCCTTCAAGGCCGCCTGTTCCCCTACTCTGCCCCAACCTGGCTGGCAGGGCTGCATGTTTCCATCCTGTTTGCCTCTTTGTTTTAATGCCAAAGTTTTAGCCAAAGACATCTTCCTTCTTTTTTTGTGTTTCAGCATTCTGTTCTGCACTGTGGGCTTGGCCCCCCTGCCTCAGCTCTGGGCAGTGTCCCTTGGCCGGGCCCATTCGCGGCTCAAGGCCCCTGGGGCTCATGGAGGGCTGGGCTGCTCAGTCTCTTCGTGGGACTTGCTAAGGAAAGTAGCATATGTGCTTTAAAAATATTAATCCTTTTGAAAAGAATTGAGAAGAGAAATGTATAATTTTATCCCATTTTTAATATTTTGGTCTAGCAACTTGTGATACATAGATGACAATTTTGTGAGTTTTTCAAATGTGTGTACAGATTTTTGTAAATATGACTCTTTTGTAATTAACTCATGTACAGCCTCATCCTGTATAGTTTAACAATGAATGTGCAGGGGACCTGCCCTGGGCGCCTGTGTGGTGCCTGGGCCTACAGCCAGGCTTGTGTGGCGTTCCCATGACTTTGTGACTGGTGTCTTCCCGTGTGGACTGTGGCCTGGCCAGAGACTCTCACACATCCCACTGTGGGGCAGCCAGGACTGTTCCCATCTTCCTAGCATGGGGGAACCTTCCTCATGCCCTGCCCATACCCCTCCTCCAATAAAGACCTATGCCCTCCACGACAGCTCCCCATGTGCTGTTGCTGGGATGTTTATACTAAAATGAGCGTGGAGGCGTTGATTTTTTTGAGAAAGGGGGTGGTTGAAGAATATGGGGAAACTTACAGCTGGAGGAGTCCTCTTAGAAAAAGGTTCCTTGGCTCCTCTGAAGGGGGTAGCACAGGCTCCAGTGAGAGAATGGCACAGTTGTGTGGGTGTAGGTGGGTAGCTGGATATGGGGGAAGACTAGGTAGGACAATGCGCTCAGTCCCTGTGTGTCTCCATCCCTAATGTTCCAGCTAGCCCAGGGCTCAGGAGGGCTTGGCCCCAGGAAAGCAGATCTAAAGACCTAGACGTGGCTAAGAATGCAGTTTGAAGGGGCAAATAGGAAGCAAAACGCCTACTTTCAGATTGAGTTGTGGCAGAATGGCTGCCGGTTCCATGAGGACTGAGGCCAGGCCCCTACCCATCCCTGTGGGGTCCAGCCTTGAGAAAGATCTGCATTTGTTGGCCTCACTCTAGGGGTTCCAAACTAAGAAGTATTGTCAGATTCCATGAGCCTCTGCCACCCCCACCCCGACCCACATCCCTACTAGGAGGACCAAGCACGTTCACCTGCTTGTCAAAGAGCCTGGTTCTCCACCACCTCAGCCCTGGCTGTCTCAAAGGGCCACCATTAGATTGGTTCCAGATCACCTCCCAATAGGGTGTGTCAGCAGGAACCAACCTCAATCTTCACTCCCTGGGACCTTCTGGAGGAAGACACCTGGATGCCCCTTTCTGGGGAAGAACCACATACACAGCACTAATCCGCCTGGGAAACCTACCCTTCAAGCTACCTCCCACTTACCTCCTGGGTCTGAATGAGGGGGGCTTAGAGCTGTGACAGGTGGCTAGGGGCCCCACTGGAAGGGACCCGCAGCGACAGGCCATGGACGCGCACAGGCTGGCCCGTGTGGCCGGTGCAGCAAGTGCCACATAAGCCATATGTCAGCAGCCGAGAGCCCGTGCACTACAACCAGCTCGCGGTAAAAGCAGGGGTCGAAGGTGCGGAGGTGCGGAGCGGCTGAAGGTCGAGGGATGCCAAAGGTGCGGAAAGCAGGGTGAGGCTCAGGCGTGAGACGCAGGCGCTGTAGACACATGCCCAAAAAGACGTCGTCAATGGGGAAAAGCTCAACCTGCGCGCAGGCACCGGCCAGGCGGCGCAGCGTGGCCCCCGAGAGAACGAAGCCGCCACCGCCTGCGTAGGCCGGGTAGGCGGGCAGGCCGTACACAGCCTCAGGGATGTAGTACTTGCTGGCCCGCACGCGGATTGGCCGCGCCTGCACTATCACGTCACCTGCAAGCAGGTCCTGCTCCGGGTCCCTTGGTGCCAGGAACTCCAGCAGGTTTCCCACGTGCACAAACACGTCGGCGTCGCCCTTAAAGACGAAGCGCACGTCGGGGCAGTAGGCGGAGGCCCAGGCCAGAAAATGGATCTCCTTGAGCGTTAGGTTGAAGAAAGTGTCGTCGAAGGCCCAGAGCAGGATGTCCGCGTACGCACGGCTCTCAGCACGCAGCAGGGCGCTCCAGTGCGTTCTAGTGCCCGCCCCCTCCGCGTCTGCCCCGTCTGTGCCCGCGCCCCGGGGCACGCCCAGCAAAAACACCCGGCGCACTAGCGCCCCCTGCACGCGACCCTCAGCCCCCCACGTCTGGCGCACTGCTTGGCGCCGCTCGAAGTCCGCAGCCACCGACTTGACGGCGATGAGCAGGTCGGGTCCGCCGGGGGGTGCGCCATTTCCTCGGCACTTGTGCGGCTGGTTAATGAGGAGAGGGAAGCGCCGCTGGTCCTTGGCTCGAAGATAGCGGCCAAAGTCAAAAGGTCCCGTGGGCGTGGGCGGCTCCGGCGTATCCTCTTCGTAGGCCGGCGGGGCTGCGCCCGCGTCCGGCGCCTGAAACACACGGAGCCCCGGGGTGGGCCCCGGCGCCGCCCTCCCTTGAGCTCGCGGCGCGTTCGTCGTCGGGGCCGCGCCATCGCGCTGCGCATAGAGCAGGAGGCCGAGGGCGGCGCCGAGGAGCAGCGTGAGCGACGCTTCTCCGCGTAGGCGCAGCCTCCGCCTCATGTCCGCCTGGCAGGCGCCCGCGGCCCCTGCGGAGAGACTCAGTCAGGGGCTCAAGACAAGGAAGCCAGCAGCCGGCAGGGGCTCCGGCCCCGCCCTCCCCGGGGGTAGGGCGCGGGAGGCCACACGCCTGGGGTCTCCAGCTGCCGGCTGTTCATCCCCCTCCGTTGTCCTCCTACTTTGGGCCCTGACCCCCCACCGGGATGGGCACCCTGAAAGGGCAAGAAGTTCCTCCTAATAGCCGACCCCCACCCTCTCAGCTCCGGCCTAGCACGGTGCCCCAGAGCCAGATCAGGGAGACGCGGAGACTCGGCCCCACCCTCTTCCCGCGTTGAGGCTGAATCCCTTCTCCTCATCCCTACCCACCACGGAGGTCCTTGGGATCCTGATACACGTTCGGCCCTTGGGAGCGGCGTGGCCCCGGATGCCGGGGCCTCCGGGGCTCAGCGCGGGGTCCCAAGGGCGGCCATGGACGGGGCCTGGGCCAAATGCAACGTTGGCAGGAAGGGGGGCCGGGGCCGCTGCCACGTGACCCTACAGCTGTGTGCGCCCGGACATCTGGAGCTCAGTCAGCTCCGCCCTGGCGCTGCCGGAGCGCTGTCTCCGAGTGGAGACTAATCTCTGAGAGGGATCCTCACGGTCAGCTCTCTCTGGGAAGCTCAAAGAGGTGAGTTCTGGTCTCCGTGCAGGCTCAGACTTCCCAATTCTGCCTTTCCGGGGGACGGGAAGAAGCACTAACCTTTCTGGTTAGTTTCCCTACCCCTGCCTCTCCGGAGCAGAAAGGGCCTGGGCTGGGCAGGAGCCCCAGCGCAGGAGGGCTTGGCATCGACCCCTCCCAGGCCATCCTTGGAAGTGCCTCTCCTCAGCTTTCCAGGAGCCCTGGTTCCGCAAGACAGGGTCCAAAAAGTGCCCCGGATACATGGCTGCCTCCTTTCTCCTGACTCTGCCATGCCCGCCAGCAGACACACCACGCACACAAGGACCAACAAAACTGCGTGTGCAATTCTCACAACCCTGGCAGCAGCTGTCATTGATTATGCCCAGATGGGGACGCTGCCCCTCAGGGAGTTAAGTGACTTGCCCAGGATCGTACAGGCAGAAGGTAAGAGCACTGTCCCAGATCTTCTGGAATTCAGTCCAAGACTCTTTCCTCTGTCCTCCCTTGCCCCTCTCCCTATCCATCCACTTGGATGCAGGAGAGGGGGGCCAACCCTGTCTGCTTTAACTTCACAGGTGAGCACTTCAGTCTGTCTCTCCAGAGGCAGTTCTGAGTTCTTTAGTCCCTAGTGCCCCAGGCCATCATCACCTCCTGCAGGAAGAAATAACCAAGCCTGGGCCCACTGCAGGCCAGGTAGGGCTGGCAGGGATTGGTTTAGCTTGGGGGACTCCTGAAGTAGACCAGTGAGCAAAGGGTTTGATGTGGACACAGGCGGGCAGAGAGGCGCTCTGGAGATTGGGGCCCAGGCCTTGCCCAGCTCTGGCTGCCACCTCTCTCTTCCTGGAACTCAGAGCCTCCAGGTCCCAGCCATGCAGTGGGGCCTGGAGTAGACAACACCCACCCCCCCCCCCCCCGCCCCACCCAAGAGTTTATGAGGGCAGACTGTGAGAACCAGCACTGCTACCCAGTGCCATCCTCTTTCCAGTGGCTGTGACTGCGCCTTCTGACTTCTTCCCACCAATATTCTCCCTTACAAAATAAACCCTCCGACCTGAGCCTCACTCTCCCGGTCACAGACTTCTCAGGAGTCCTCTACTCCGGCTGTCTCTGCTGCCTCACCTCCCATCTCTCCTGTGTTCTGGTTTCAGGCTGTCCACACCATGTCCCAGAAACAGCCCCCACCTAGTAACCTTTTCCCCGACTCCAGTGGACACTCCGCAGCTTTGACAGATTTGCAGCCTCCATCACAGCAGGTGGGTATTCCCCTGGCTTCCAAATCTGGTTTTCCTCCTTCCAATTTGGGTTGCTCTTTTTTCTGGTTGGTGACCTTCAGGACCTCCCCCTGGGCCATCCCACCCACTCCCACCTGTACATTTCTGAATCCTGGGCCTCGACACTCTCCTGAACTCAAAACTATAGATCCAGCTATCCTTGGACTCTCTCCCTGGATGTTCTACAGGAACATCATGCCCAACTTGTCCCAAACAGAGCAAGCACTTCACCTCCCCCAGGGCCCCTATCTCAGCAGGCAGCTCCACCTTCCCTCCAACTGGCAAAGGCAGAAACTCTGGAGTCCTCTCCCACCTCCCTCATTCAGTGTCACCAGGCCTGTTGTCCTTTGTCCTAACTCAATGTTCATCCCTTCCCTCCATCTCTGCTGCTAACTGCCCCAGCCTGGGGCACTGTCTTTTCTCTCTCTCTGCATCCTCACCAGCCTCCCAGCCTTAACTGCCAAAACCTTTTAAAGGCCTCTCACTAGCCTCCAGATAAAATCCAAACTCTGTAAATTGGCTTATCTGACCCCACGTTCTCTGCCTCCCCCACTCACCAATGGGTCTCTGCAAATCCACCCACCCCTAGATCCAGCCACTCTAAACCTTCTGTTCTAAATCCCTTCCTCTCACCTTCCTCAAGACCTCACCTGAGGCTGACCATGCCCAGAATATTGCCCTTCTCTCATTCCACCACCCACAACATTCACAGTCATTTCTCTCCCAGGAAGCCTAACCCCTAACCTGGGTTAGGCCCCTGCTCAGTTGCTCCCACAACTCCTTGTATTTTTCACATCAAAAAACTGGTAGTATTTTATTACTGTTTCTTAATATTCAGAGTCTCAGACTGAGTGTGAACTGGGGACAGGCAGGATTCGTGTGTTTTGTTCACCACGGTATTTGCAGCACCCAGGATGATGCCTAGGATACAGCAGGTCCTTAATGAATTATATTGAATTAATGAATAGTAATGAATTGTTCTATGAATGAAGAGGTAAGGTCTGGCTGAAAGCCCCTCTTCTGCGGTGGGAAAAGGTGAGGTCGACCTTTTGCAGCAGGTCACCCATACGCTCTGTCTCTATCCTAGTATCTAGAACAGAACCCCCAGTGGCACCCCAGCAGACACTGTGGGTGCTTGTCTGACTCCTGGAGAGGGCAGCCATATCTGGTTGTAAGTATGGCGTCAGAGTCCCGTGGGTGGACAGGAGGTCAGCAGTAGCATTAGAAGGGACCCTACAGTCACGCAGGTGCTCCAAACCCTGGCTGGGCAACTGGCCGACTGACCCTTTCTCTGGTACCCAGGCTAGGCCAGGCCGCCATGGGGATTTGCGAGGCCCAGCAAGTCCTCTGCCAGGCTGGTGAGTTCGTTCTCCTCGAGCGCCTCCACCAGGCGCTGCAGCGTGGCGCGGCGGCCCTCGGCCTGCACGAAGCGCCGCAGCAGCTGGAAGGCCTGCTCATACAGCCCTTCACGCTCGTATTCATAGGCCAGTGAGTCAAGCGCCGGGTCCCGCAATGCACGACAGCCGCGCTGCAAGGAGCGCCCCACCTTGCGCCACTTGAGGCCCACTGAGCGCGCGAACGTCTGTTGGTCCTGCAGGCTCAGCGGCCGGTTCACTGCAGGGGAAGTGGGAAGCGGAGTGAGCTCGGGACACCCTTCCATTTCCGCCCCGCGACTATCCCGCGCAGACCTCACCCCTCCCCAAACTCCATCCTCCCGAGGATGCTGCCTCTGCTTCTCTCCGGGAGTCTCACCTACGGGCTGACCATGGAACAGAAAAGTCTGGCCAGACGGCGGCGGCGGCGGCGGCGGTGGCTTCTCCTCCGACGGAGAGGGTGCCAGAGACTGCGAGGGGGCCGGAGCGCCCTCCACGTCGCCCCCTTGGCCCCCCGAGCCGCACGTCAGATTCCTGAGCGCATCCTCCAACTCTGTTAGTTCCTCATCCCGGAGCCGGTCGGGCTAGGGAGGGGAGTGCGGCGTCGGTGGGGGTCTTAGCCGCGAATCCCCACCCCACCCTGGCCCCAGCCCGGCCGCACCTTCTGGGCGAAGATGCAATTCAAACAGCGCTCCTCGTCGGTCAGCAAGGCATCTAGCTGCTCCGCGCCGGCGCGCAGCTCCAGTTGCAGCGGCACGGAGTGCAGGGTCAGCTCCGCCGCCAAGCACCCTTGCAGCGCGGCGCGCAGTGCCCCCTCGCGGTAGGTGCGGAGGAAGCGGCCGCAGGCCTGGCGCCCGCTGAAACGCAACTGCACGATCAGCTGCGGATCGCTGCGGTGGATCTTGAGCATCTGCAGCACGTCGGGGCTCCCGCCACTCTCTGCGAAGGCAGGCAGTCAGGTGGCATGTGGTCCCCCTGCGGGGCCATTCTCCAAGAGGCCGGAGGACGGATGAAGCCCCAGGTAAGACGCCCTCCCCATCCCCAGACCTAGGGGCGCGGCTATACGCCAGAGCTCCCAGCTGGGAAGCAAATTGGGATGCAAACAGCAACAACCCAGAATAAAGGCCAGGACCTATCACAGGGAGCACCCTAGGATGGAGTGTGTGCTACTCTATCCCCAATCCTGAAGCCCCAAATGAGGGTGGGCAAAAAGGACATGCAAGAGACTTTGCAGGGTAGAAAGGGGCATTTGCCCTGGGCAGCCAAGCCCTCTGGGTAGGTGGCTGGCGGAACAGGGGGCGAGAGGTCTCAGGTTTTCGGCCTCCTAGTGTGGCTCCCCCTGCCCTGGAAGGAGAGAGGCTCTCGTCGCTCTGAGGCCGGAGCCAGATCCCCCTATTGGCTTCAACCTCCAGTGGCCTCTGCCCTGAGATGGGAAAAGGGGACCCGAAAGGTAGGTACTGGGGAGGGGGTCTTGGGCAAGGAGTGCTGCAGTGAGAGAGGAAAAGAAGAGAGAGGCGCGATTAGTAGACAGCAGTGAGCGGGCTGATCCGGGGAGTGGGGGGCATGGAGCAGGGGCACGTTAGTGCACACATAGATCATACAGAGACACAAGAGACACAAGTCTACACCCGAGGGCACACATGCATACACAGAGAAGACAGACCCTACACAACCAGGCGTCCTCCTCCGCCCTTCCCTAACGAATCTTTTCCTTAAAGTGGTGGTTAAGCGCAGGCCCACAGAGTTGAAGAGGTGAGGTCTCAGTCCCTGGCCCCGCCCACAACCCAGGCCGGCCTTTCCTCTCCAAGTGCCCGCCCACTCACGCACCTGCCAGGGCAGTCCGCAGAGCCCTGTACACCGCCACTTTCTGTTGCGGGTGAGCGTAGGCATCCGACAAGACCACCTTGTCCAGCGAGGACTCCACAAATAGGTAGGCACTGCCCACCCACTCCTCGAGCCCATTTGGCCCAGCCGCCATCTTGCCTCCTGGGGACAGAGATACGCATTCAGATCACCCCAACCCAGCTCTGGAGACAACTGTCCAGTCCCACGTGGCCGAGCTGTCCCCTCAGCTGACATCCAGCCGTCCCCACCCAGCTGGCATACTTATGAGGGTAAGTTCATCATCCCACAGGCAGCCCCTTGTGCTTCTGGCTCTGCACAGCCCAGCCCAAACCAGCCCAGCCCAGCCAAGGTTTTCAGTGAGGACTGTCTCTCCACTGTCTTCTCAGAGAAAGAGCCCAGGGTCACAGGGATGGAAGAGGAGAGGGACAATGTTGCAGCAGAAACAACAAGTTCTGCTCCCTCCTCAGGCCAGGGTGTCTCTCTCTCTTTTTTTTTTTTTTTTTTTTTCCATTTGCGGTACGCGGGCCTCTCACTGTTGTGGCCCCTCCCCTCGCGGAGCACAGGCTCCGGACGCGCAGGCCCAGCAGCCATGGCCCACGGGCCCAGCCGCTCTGCGGCATGCGGGATCCTCCCGAACCGGGGCACGAGCCCGCGTCCCCTGCATTGGCAGGCGGACCCCCAACCACTGCGCCACCAGGGAAGCCCGAGTGTCTCTCTTTTCAAAGCTGACTGGAGACATCCTTATCCTGGATGGTGCCCATGCCCCACAGCACAACCAGACCCATGTGCTGGTATGGTATGCCCTCAGCTTAAATTTGAGCTCCCAGGATCCCTGTGGGACCACAGCCCCCACTTAGATTTTCTGACCTGAATTCCTACTATATCTCCAGGCTTCACTTCAAAGGACACCTGTAGTTTGCGCCTGCCCAGATTCCCTCCCGCAATCCTGACTGACCTCTGGGGCCTTCCCTCTTCCCTTGTCTCAATCCACATGCCTGTTGGAAGGGCTAACTCCACTCCCTAGCTCCAGGCCTGGGCAAGTGAAACAGGCCTAGCCAATCTGCATATTCCATTCGCCTTCCTGAAATGATTTGTTCAGAGTTGGGCATAGGATTCAAGTTGGACCAATCAAAATCAACCTGCAAATTTGGCTGGATCAATAGGAAAGAGGCATAAGTTTCCCTTCCTATCTTGAAGCTGAGCGAGAAGGAAGGGTAGTTCTCCTCTGCCACTGCTTGGGAAGAGCCTGACTGAGAATGAAACTGGCGCAGGAGGCTACAGAGCCAAGAGATGAAGAAGTGCACTCCTAGCCACACTGTGTCCCATCTTGGACTTTTCCATTATGTGAACTAAATCATTTCTGTTTATTCTGTGTTTCAGATCTGCCCCCAGACCCTAACGTGAGAGCCAAAGCTGGGACAGTACCTGGGAAGGGGCGCTCCAGCATCACCCAGACCTGGCAAGAAAAATGATACTTGATAACCCTACCCTGCGTCTGAGCACAGGGATGTACCTTTTGAGCACCCCCCCATAATCTTTTTTTTTTTTCCCCCCCATAATCTTTTGGTAGAAGACATATTAATACTTGTGTGTTTACCCAAAACCATAGTCTGGAAATTAACAGGAAGTTACCATTGTTTACCTCTGTTGGGGAAGGGGGAGACTTGGCGTGATTTTTATTTTCACTGTATTTAGCAATATTCTACTTTATGTAAACCCCGTAGATGCAGTCCCGCCCGAAGGGGTGGGTAAGTAAGGGTGGTAGTCTCCCCAGCAGGCCTACCTGCGGGACATTGAAAACCTGGAGGAGGGGGGAAGCTCCCTCACACTCACTACGACTGGACAAATGGGAGAAGTCAAACAGAAGTCAAACAGGCCTGCCAGGCTAAAGGTCGAGAAGGACAGACAACCTTTGAGAAGCGGCCGGGGCCCTTGGCTCGTTTCGCGCCCTTGGGAACTCCTTTCTACGTGTCCTTCCAAAGAAGCCCCTCCTCGGGAAGCCCCGCGCCCCACCCACCCAGAGTCCGCCTCTCTGCGGGCGGGGCCGGGCTGGGTTCCAGGAACTCTTAGCTGGGTACCGACTCAAGAAAATATGCCCCTATGACCGGGAGCCAGCCGGTGCAGCGTTCTATTAACACGGCCTAACAGTCCCCGGGTAGCCCCACCTCTGGCCGGGTGGACGGTGACGGCCTGCTGGCGGGCGTGGCCCCTCAAGGACTGACAGGCTGAGAGTCCCAGCATCCTACTCAGCTGGGCCGCTCCCGAGCTCTCGAGGGGAGCTCCCCGGCCTCCCTCGTTCTGGAGTTCTGCTCTTGCTACTGGCCGGGGAGGGCAAAGGGTTTCTGCTCAAATATCTGTTCAGAAACAGCCCCACCCCGTCCTCTCACCCACAGGGTCCTGCCGCCCCTTGAAATCCCCTAACTGGGACAAGGAACTTTCGGGGACCAAGGTCCGTACCCTCTCTCCCTCCTCCCACGGAAACAGCCCAATAGGCCACCACCACCACCTGACCCGAGCAGCCGCGGATGACAACCGCGCCGCGCCCATGCTTCCGAGCCAGGATCCACCTCGGCTCCTGCCGGCACTGGGAAGCCCACCCACCCTCTGCACTAACCTGGCCGCCTCGGCTCGTCCCGGATTCCCACGCCCGCCCGGCTCCACTGGATTCGCGCTGCTTCCGGGTGTGCGCGGAGCGCAGGGGCGGCGCCCCAGTGCGAGCCGCCCCTTCTGTCCCGGCGTCCCGCCCCTCGGGCTCCCCGCGGTTCCTTCCCACCGCTGTCCTCCGCCGCCAGTCCCCAGTCTCTGGGCAAAACCCACCTGGTCCGCTGAGCAGGTAAGAAACTGGCGCCTGAGGTTAAACAGCAGGGAGAACAGCCTGCGGCAAGGGACTTCGAGGACTTGTGGTTCTTACGAGGCCGGAGGGCCCCAGGGTGAGAGCTGCTCCTCTTCCTCCAGCGGGCAACGGATGGATCAACAAGGAGGTGCCCCTTGAGGACCAGACGTTTCTGGTGCCTTCTGTGTGGTAGAGCTCGAAGATCTCTGATCTCTGATACTCCCTGACACTCTGAACGGGGTGCCGGTGGGTCCCAAGTTCAGGCCTGGTGGAGGGTATCAGAAGCCCCAGGATACGCGAGGCGCAAATTCCAGCAGGGTCCGTTAGCCTAGAAAATAGAAAACTGGCCAGTGGCGTGAAACGTTGGGTACGAAAACCTTTAAGGACCTTAAACTAAAATTGGCAACTTCAAAGAGGACGCACATTTTCCAACAAAGACAGCGCTCTCTCTGAGGTGGGTCTGCCGAATTCCAGCTGAACCTAAGCCGCCCAACGGGAGCCTGGGCTGCTTGGGGTTCAGGATCGGAACTTGAACCCATGGTTCCTCAGGTCCCAGAAACCCAAGACTTTCTCCGCCCCGCCGGCCTTCTCTTGGAAGCTCTCGGGACACCTCCCCCTGCGAGGTGGACGAAAGAGCCTCCCTTCTCTGGGCGGATTCGGTTGTGCCCCACCCGCGTCCCTGCTTTCTGATTGGCTTGTGGTCTCTGCCAATTAAAAGTTTTCCCTAATGCTCCCGCCCTATTAACCCTATCGTTACTCTCTAGTGACTGGTGGGGGCTAGGTCCGGGTTTCTCAACTTGGGACCTGTAGAATCCACCGGCGCTTGTTGAAATTCAGATTCCTGGGCCCTACTCTTTTCGGAGAGCCTAACTTAGTAGGTGGGGCCGTGGAATCTGTAGTGTGAACAAGTGTCCAAGTGATTCTGATGCCCCGCGCCCTTCGAGAATGCCTCATTTCAATGGTCCTCGGTGCTTGGGCTTAGTCCTCCCCTAGTACTCAGGGTCGAAATTGGGAGGCAAGCAGTTCAGTGACCCCTGTGAGACTAGTCTGGGCCCTCTGAGCTGGGGGGAGGACGTGGTTGTCTGGAGTCAGAGCCTGTGCATCCGCCTTCCAACTTGCTCAGAGAAAACTTTGGTAACTAGAAGAAAGATCCCATAGCATCATCCCAAATCCGGTATTCGGCTTTATCAACGTGGTGCACCGGTCGTGGTTGAGTTCTTTCTAATATAGCATAAAACGTGGATTTGCTCAACAAGTGAGAACGTAGTTTAAAGGAGAATCAGAGATACTCGGCATCCAGGGCAGACTTCATGGGTCTGAGACCTGTGCACTGCACAGGGCCCCAGGCTTGGTTTAATAACTTGGTTAAATGCTCTGCTGTCACTGTCTTGAAACCCTTAATAATGTTTTGAACAAAGAGACCCACATTTTCATTTTGCACTGGGCTCTGCAAATTACATAGCAGCTCCTGGGCCACAAGCATTTCTACACGTAGGCTCCAGGTGTTTCCCTCAACACTTTGGCCTTCCTGCAGCGGAACCCCCACCCTGCTCCCGGCCATGGCGGAGCCTGGAGAACAACTGCCGGAGGAGGTGCTGGCACTCATTTTCCGTCACCTGCCCCTGCGGGACCGCGCCGCTGCCGCGAGGGTTTGCAGAGCTTGGGCTGCCGCTGCCACCTGCAGCACTGTGTGGCACAACACGAACATCAGGTGAGCAGGCTCCTCCCCCTCCCGCCTTCTCCCTGGCTCGGTGGAGTCAGGGCTTGGGGAGATACAGTGACTCTCCCCATATTAAAAAGCGTAATCAGGACTTCCAGCGGTCCAGTGGTTGACTGGGCATTTCCAATTCAGGGGGCGTGAGTTCGATCCCTGGTCAGGGAACTAAGATTCCACATGCACGGGCCCCCCCCCAAAGTGTAATAATTTCTAACATTTATTGGCCACCAACTGTGTACCAACCATTGTTCTAAGTGCCTTACACATATTAATTGATTTAATCCTCACTAAAACTTTATGTGGTAGATAGGTGGTATTATTATCTCCGTTGCACAGATAGAAAATTGAGGCAGAGAGATTTAATCACTTCCTTACTCAGCTGAGAAGTAGCAGAGGCAAATGTGAACCTGGCAATCCAGAGGCCACGCCCCCCCCCTCCTTAAAGACCGCTGAGAAAGCCCTGTTCTTAAAATATCATTGGCTCTCCGTGGCAAGGTTTCAACCAGCGGCAGATGCATCTGAAGTCTTCTAAATGGATAGGATGGGAGTTCCCTTCTAGCATCACCTTGGAGCGACCAGGCATGGTCGGGACAGGGAGGTATGTGGGGAGGGGGCAGGAAGTGGGGATGGTAGCTGGAACCCAGGCTGAGGGGTGGGTTAGAGGCCTCTCTCCAGGTCGCGGGGACTCGGCCGGCTGATGCCTTTTCTCCACCACTCTACCCCCAAGTTGCGACTGTGAGCTAGAAGGCATGCAGCCGCAGTACCTGTCCGCTTGCCTGGACCACGTTCAGAATCTACGTCTGGAATTTGTGCCGTCCAGGGAGCCGAGCCGCCTGGCGGCCATAGAGTTGCTGACCGCACTGGCTGGCCGTAACCCCGAGCTGCGAGGCCTGTGCCTGGAGTGCCGCGGAGAAAAGCGGCTCTTCGACTCGGGTCGCGACGTCCTGGACGCCGTGCACGCCCTCTGTAGGGCCGCCCGCGCGCTGCGCCACCTCGACCTAAGGCGCTTGCCCTTCACACTGGACGACGCGCTGGTGCTGCAGGTGGCACACGGCTGCCCGGAGCTCTGCAGCCTTTTCCTGGATAACAGTACGCTGGTGGGCAGCGTGGGGCCAGGCTCCGTGCTGGAGCTACTAGAGGCCTGCCCCTGCCTGCGCGCCCTCGGCCTGCACCTGGCCAGCCTGTCGCGCACCGCGCTCGAGGCACTGGCGGCGCCAGACCGCGCACCTTTTGAGCTCCTGGCCCTGCGGTGCGCATGTCCCGAAGACGCACGCGCGTCGCCCCTGCCTAATGAAGCCTGGGCCGAGCTGAGCCGCCGCCACCCTGGACTGGCCGTAGAGCTGGAGCTGGAGCCGGCTCTGCCTGCCGAGAGCGTGACACGCGTCCTGCAGCCTGCTGTGCCCGTGGCTGCGCTGCGCCTCAGCCTCTCTGGGGACACCGTAGGCCCGGTGCGCTTCGCAGCGCGCCACTACGCCGCAACCTTGCGCGCGCTCGAGGTGCGCGCTGCCGCCTCTGCCGAGCTGGACGCCGCGCTGGAGGAGCTGGCAGAGCGCTGCGTGGGCCTGCGCGAAGTGCACTGCTTCTGCGTGGTGCGACCCTCCGTGCTGCATGCCTTCCGCACGCACTGCCCGCGCCTGCGCAGCTACACGCTCAAGCTGACGCGGGAGCCGCATCCCTGGCGGCCCACGCTTGTGGCGTGAGGCGACAAACCCTCTTTCCCCTCCCTGCGGACGTGTGGCCTCTGAGATGCTGCGTGGGTTTGCCCCGGGGCGCGTCAGCTGCTAGTCCGCTCCTTTAGGACTCTGTTGTCTCTTGTCCCTCTCGAGAATTGGGGGCTGTGGGATGGCGTCAGTACCAGCCCGGAGCAACCTGAGTCCACTCGTTGCTGTCAACATCTGCAGACACCCACTGTCCCCGCCATACGGGGATCACCCTCCTCCAACCCCAGTCCTCTGCAAACGTTGCTCGGCGGCCCCGGCGTGGGAGGAGGGAGGGCACTGGTTCAGAGCATGCCTCAGGGTTGAGTGTGAAATAAATCAAGCAGCATCTCTACGTCCTGTGAAAGGCCGGGTCCGCTCTGAAGGGTGAGGGAGGAGAACCAGCAGATGCCGGAGGAGGGGTCCGGGCAGGGGTGGGAGAGTTCGAGACCTCACGGTTTACTTCCACTGGTGCGGCTGCGGGGGTCAGTGTCGGGGCACTCGCATCTTCCGAATGACAACGCCCCAGGGTTCGGCGGGAGGGGGCCAGCTTCTCCTTCCCCCACCCTCCCGCTCTCAAGCTCGCTCCTTTCTGCCCCTCTAACCGAGGCTTCACTATGCCCACGCCATCGCCTTATAGGACTTTCCCAGCCCACACCACGCTGTGTACGCTGGATTCTCCCGAAGAACAAAGGAGGAAACAGCGGGCCTGAGAGAGGGGTGGGACTCGAACGCAGGTCTACTTCCCTACCGCACCCCGCCCCCACGCACATACTGCCAGTGCTGAGGCCGCGGTCAGAGCCCCGCCCCGCTGGTTCGCACGTGGCCCCCACCTGACCCGGCGCCGGGAGGCGGAGTAGGGCGGAGCGGGCGGCAAACGCAGCACTTTCCGCGGCTTTGACAAGCCAGCGGCGGCCGGGCCCAAGCGTTAAACGGGGCCGGGACTGCGCCATGCAGGAAGCGCCAGCCGCGCTGCCCACGGAGCCGGGCCCTAGTCCCGTGCCAGCCTTCCTTGGCAAGCTGTGGGCGCTGGTGGGCGACCCGGGCACCGACCACCTGATCCGCTGGAGCCCGGTGAGGGCTGGGGCCTTTCGACTTCCTCAGTGGTCCCCGGGATTCCTCCACGTCAGTGAACGTCCACGCTCACCCTGTCCCTGCCTGGGACGGGGCTGAGGGTCCCTTGATTCAGCCGTCCAGGGTATGCGACGGCTTGGAGGGGGTATTCGAGATGGAGGTGAGGCGACTTCCTCCGGGCAGAGGACAGGGTAGGAGACTTCTGGAGGAGACCTAGAACCCGAAGGATCTTCCAGGTCATTTAGTTCCCACCCTGCCCATCAGACAGATTGGAACACAGAGAGGCCAGGAGAAGGGAAGGGCTGGGCCTGGTTCTAGCTCAGAGTCACATCGCGGGTCTGGGAGCCGTCCGGGGCTGGAACCCAGGTTTGCCCTCTGCTCTTACTTTCAGAGAACCGAGTACGGAGTCTGGGTGGGCTGAGATAGAGATTGTGGTCGCCCCAGGCTAGGCCAGAGCTGGTTCTGGCCTGGCCTCGTCCCACGTCCCCACGAATGGTAGCCTCGGTCCCCAGAGTGAGTGCGAGTGTGTATGCGCGCGCGCCAGAGCGCTGGCTTCGCCGTGGGCGGGCACCGCTCACGGTGTCGTCTGGTCTCCGCCCGCACGGTGGGTGGGCGGGCGGCGTTCTCCACAGAGCGGGACCAGTTTCCTCGTCAGCGACCAGAGCCGCTTTGCCAAGGAAGTGCTGCCCCAGTACTTCAAGCACAGCAACATGGCGAGCTTTGTGCGGCAACTCAACATGTGTGAGTCCCTAGGGCCGGGCGGGACGCGGGCGTGGGTGACTTGGTGCGGGGGGGCGGGGCAATTTACGCCCCCACGCCCTACTCCCTAGACGGTTTTCGGAAGGTGGTGAGCATCGAGCAGGGTGGCCTGCTGAGGCCGGAACGGGACCACGTCGAGTTCCAGCACCCGAGCTTCGTGCGCGGCCGAGAGCAATTACTGGAACGCGTGCGGCGTAAGGTGGGGGCGGCCTGCAGGAACCAGCAAACCGGGGTGGAGGTGGGACAGCTGTCTCCTGCGACTCTGACTTGAGGGTGCCTCCCACCTGCAGGTGCCTGCGCTGCGCGGCGACGACGGCCGCTGGCGCCCTGAGGACCTGGGCCGGCTTCTGGGCGAGGTGCAGGCTTTTCGGGGAGTGCAGGAGAGCACCGAGGCGCGGCTGCGGGAGCTCAGGCAGTGCGGGGGAGGGGGCGGAGGAGGATGGGGAGGGGGAAGGGAGGGTCTGGGCGAGGGGGCACTGGCTTCCAAGCGTTTCTAGGCAGCTCCTTCCTCTCTCATGCCTTGGCGCCTCCATCGAGACCAATGGGCCGAGCTGAGGAAGTCTGTTGTCTATGGACGGGTGATCATCCGAGTGGGCGCCGGTTCAGGCCTGCCATTCTGTGGGGGGAGGTGACCGGGCGAACTCTCAGATGCCTCAGCACCCCCCCACGCCTTTCCCCCAGGCAGAACGAGATCTTGTGGAGGGAGGTGGTGACGCTGCGGCAGAGCCACGGTCAGCAGCACCGGGTCATTGGCAAGGTGTTCCTCTCCCCCCACCCCACTTCTCTCTGTCACTCCTCAACGTACCACCCGCCCCCCAGTCCTGGAAGCCACCTGGAGTGCCTCGTTAGGGTGGGAGGCAAGGTCCAAAGTATGAGTTAACCCTTTGCTTTCTCTTCAGCTGATCCAGTGCCTCTTTGGGCCACTTCAGGCGGGGTCCAGCAGCGCAGGAACTAAGAGAAAGCTGTGAGTGAGAAACCCAGGGACGCCCCCACCCCTTCCAGGACCCTCACAGAAACCCAGGCAGGACTCCTTCTCCTCCAGAAGCCCCTTCACCTGGAATCCTCATTCTTTTCCCCTGCATTACAGTCTTCCTCACCCAATGGCCATCCCCCCAAGGGCCCCCTTCCAGGGCTTTCCCCCTCTACCCCCAACTCTACCACCAAAACCCCCACTCTCAGACCCCTCAGTTCCAGGACCTTAACCCCATATTTCCACCCCATCATCCCCTTACCCCTCACCCCAAAGCATCCCAACAGTAGAGGGTCTGGGTCTCAAACCACACTCCCTCCCTCCCTTCTCTACCCCCAAAGGGCCCCCATCTCTGGGGGGAGCCCCTTCTGCCTCTAGCATGTGACTGATGCCCTGGCAACAGGCCTCAGCTCTGCTGACTTGGCTGCTGGGGCCTGTGGGAGGGAGGTGGTGCAGGCTGAGGGGCATGGGAGATGAACCTACCCAGCCCCCTGCCTGTGCCCTGGCCACCCTGCACAGGTCCCTGATGCTGGATGAGGGGTGCCCAACACCAGCCAAATTCAACGCCTGCCCCCTACCTGGTGCCCTCCTGCAGGACCCCTACTTTATCCAATCGGTAGGTTTTTGCTTCTCTCTTCCCTAGAGCACAGCTTGGTTTATGGAGAGCCTGTTCCCTTTCCACATTCCCCAAAAAGAAGAGAAGATGGAGGCCAGCTTTCCCTCCCACCAGACCCAGGCTCCCCAGCATGGGCCCAGCTTCCTCCCTCAAACCTTCCCCCTTAGATCTAGCCCATGTGGTACTGGCTGGGTTCTGGCTCACCCTGTGGCTTGAGGTGAAGGGTTGGGCCTCATCTTCTACTTACAGCCTCTCCCAGAGACCACCCTGGGCCTCAGCAGCTCTCACAGGGCCAGGGGCCCCATCATCTCTGACATTCCGGAAGACTCTCCATCCCCTGAAGGAACCAGGCTTTCTCCCTCCAGTGGTGGCAGGAGGTAAGAGGGACAGGGGCTGCCCTCTGGGGAGCCTGTGGCTGAGGGCCTGGCAGCCCAGATGGCTGTGGGGATGGGGGAGAGGGCAGTGCCAGGGTCTGGCTGAAGCTTTTCTCTGGTGCAGGGAGAAGGGCCTGGCACTGCTCAAAGAAGAGCCAGCCAGCCCAGGGGGGGAAGGCGAGGCCGGGCTGGCCCTGGCCCCAAACGAGTGTGACTTCTGCGTGACAGCACCCCCACCGCTGCCTGTGGCTGTGGTGCAGGCCATCCTGGAAGGGAAAGGGAGCCTTAGCCCCGAGGGGCCCAGGAGTGCCCAGCAGCCTGAACCAAGAGGCCCCAGGGAGGTTCCTGACAGGTGAGCAGAGAGACCATTTTTGACTGTAAGCCCTGTGGGCCACTTCTGCAGCTAGATCAGCACTAACTAGCCCCCAGACTTCCCAGCCTTCTCTGCCCCTTGGTGGCTGGCTGGTCGGTTGGGCACCACTGTCTCACCTGATTTCTCAGAGCTGCTCTAAGGAGTACCAGCTTCAGAGGCCCCTAGAAAGTGGAAACATGTCAGTGGTAGGGCTCAGGAATCTGCATTTTAAATGCAACCACTGGGGTGCTTGTAAAGATTGTAAAGTACGCAACAGTTTAAGAACCACTGATGTTGATAATTGCATAGGGAGGGGACACAACCCAAACCTCAGGCCAAAAGTAGGAGGCAGAGGCACTCTGTGTGCCCCTCTACGTGTGTGTGGGGGGATCGTCTTCCAGCATTTTCTATATGTTGTCAGATTTAGATCCTGATGTATTCAGGTTCCTTAGGAACCTAATGGGGGGTGGGGTTGGGCACTGCAGGCCAACGGCAGTTTTCTGTGCACAGGGGGCCTCTGGACCTGGAGAGAGGAGCCCGGAGCCCGGAGAGTCTGTTGCCTCCAATGCTGCTTCGGGCCCCCCCTGAAGGTGTGGAGCCTGCAGGGCCCCTAGATGTGAGTACACCTTCAGCAGGGCAGAGGCATGGGGCTTGGTGGGGTCCAGCTGCTTGTGCAGCCTGGGGAGGACACCACTGACCCAGACCTCCCCCTAGGTGCTGGGCACCAGCCTCCAGGGGCGGGAGTGGACTCTCATGGACTTAGACATGGAGCTGTCCCTGGTAAGATGGGGGTGGGGAGGGCAGGGGGTTCAGAGTTGTTCGGCCAAGCCCTTTGGTCCACAGCTGTTCTCCCTCAGCCAAAGCCCCAGCTCCCTCCCCAGCTGCTTCCTGGGGTTCTCTCATGCAGTTGCAGCCCTTGGTTCCAGAGAAGGGTGAGACTGAGCTGGCGGTCAAGGGGTTAAATTCTCCAGGGCCAGGTAATAATTGTGGTGACTTAGGACCTGGGGGAGGCCCATAGGGGCCTGAGCTACCACGATTGCGTGGGCGGGGCAGTTGGTGTTTTGGAGGGAAATCCCCGGAGGCAGGCTGCTCTGCAGAGTACTGCTTAAGCTGCTTGAGCCGCTGGAAGAGAGTGGGGGGTTGAGAGTGGATGTTTCATCCTAACCGGAGGGCAAGGCGAGTGAAGCTCTCCTTCCCTGAAGAAAGGAGGCGACCGTTTCTCCCCGCTGAGCACAGCCCCACTCCTCCTAGGGAAGGACTCCATGCTGGGGACACCACTCCTGCTGGATGTCCAAGCCGCTTTGGGAGGCCCAGCCCTCAGCCTGCCGGGAGCTTTAACCATTTACAGCGCCCCTGAGAGCCGCGCCTCCTACCTGAGCCCAGGGGCCAACCCCTCCCCCTGAGGGCCCCCTCCACTCTGAAACCAGCCTGGCTGAGGGGCGGGCTGGCCGGCAGCACGCCCGGCTCGGCTTCCTTGAGCCCCTGCTGGAGGCTGAGTGAAGCCCCTCCTACCTTGGCAGCCCCTCTCCAATACCGAGCCCTGCATAAAACTGCGTTTTTTTTCTGTGTTTCTGGTCTCTTTTCTCTACCGACCATGGAGCACAGAAGTCATGGGTGGGGGGCGACTTGGCATTCGTAGCAGCGTCCAGATCCTAGGGCTTTAATCGAGGAACCCTTGAAGGGTGGAGGTGCTTGGGGAGTCTGCCCCTAGTTCTCCTGCTTAGGCCCCATCCTCCGGGTCCGAATCCAGGGCTGGCGCGTGGCCACTGCGACCTCCGGGAAGCGGGGACTTTTGGGGTCACACCCAGCACCGCAGTGCATCCGTTCTGTGAGCCTGGGTAAGCTGGTCTCCTCTGAGCCTTGTCTGTGACAGGCAAAGATGGGTGTAAAACGCCGGGGTACTTGGGGCCGCGGGCTTAACTGTCCCCTCCCTGACTCATCCGGCGCGCCCGGGGTGAAGAGGGAAAGCAGACTACGTGTACGAGCCCAGGCGGTACGCGGCCTCTGCGGCCTGCCTCCCCGCGTCCCGGGAAGAATGGCCCCCTTTCCCCACCCCCTCCGTGTTCCCGGCAGCCCTGGCCGGCCCGCCCCCGCCGCAGCTGCTGCTTCCATCTCCACCGCGCCCGGCCCTTTCTGCCTCGTCATCTCCTCCCCAGCCAAGGCTCGACCAGTGAGTGGGGCCGCCGGGAGCGCACGGAGCGGGAGCTCCCCGGACCCCCGGCTGCGGTAGGGAAGAGAAACTGAGTTTGGGCAAAATCCGCGCCCCACCAAAACCAGCCGCACCCGAAGGAGGTCTGTGAGCCCCGCCCCTCGGCAGGACTCTAGCTCTGGGGCTGGGTGGAGGGGAGTTAAGGGTTCGCACGTGCGCAAAGGCTCCCGCAGTTTTCCACCACCTTCGCTCCCTAGCAAAAGGACGCGCGGGGAGCGAGGTGGGGAGGGCGACAGAGACCCCGTCCACGCCTCGTAACTGGAGCTGCCTGGTGCTCCGGGAAGGATCTGGGCTGTGAGCACTGAAGGAGATAACTTCGGTATTCACTTCCTAAGCATTGAGTTTCAGGGTGAGGACCCGTACCAGCTGGTGTCTCTGCACCCCAGACAGGACAGAGGACAGGACTCGGGGTAACGGAAGGAGGAGGCTAACATGAAAAGAACTTGGGGAGGCGTGAGAGAGAAGGAGGGGCCGGTCTAATCTTCCTCCTCCCTCTCTGCACCTGTACAGAGTGGATTCTGTCCTCCCTCCCTTCCTGCACTCGATTGGGGGGACAGGCTTGGGAAGCCTCAAGTGAAGAGGGCAGAGGAGCCACAGTACGCAGTGCAGTGATGTCAGCCTAGTGGTGAGGCTGTATGTTGTTCACTGGGGTACAGAGGAGAAGGAACCAGTCTGCTTGTGGGACACTCAGGCATTGGGGTGGATGAGGGGACATTTGAGTCTTGGAGGATGGATCCACAGCATGAAGGGAGGAAAGGGCATTCCAGGCCTAGGCAACAGCATCTGTGAAGTTTGGGAAGTGCCAGTACTGAGTGGTGGAGGGAAGTGGGGGAAAGCCTGGCTGTCCGGGGGGTGGGAAGTGAATAGATAGTCTGGATTCTCTCTGATAAGCTGTGGGGGTGTGGGGGACAGGTAGTTACGGCTGACATTTTGCTTGGCAGGAGACCTTGTAGTTCAGGCTGGAGCAAGTCAGATTCCACTTCTGCCACTCGATTTCTCTGTGCCTGTCCCCTTATCTGTAAAATGGGGACAAAAGCCCTACCCCAGAGAGTTGTCAAAGTCACTGTTCTGTGGGGGTGACGGAATAGGAGTGAGCGGTACTCAGAGACTGTTACAGGAGATGAGGTGACCATGGAGGGGTTGAGGGAGATGCTGATATCTCACTGAGAAGTGGAGGAGCAGCATTTGTCCCTGATGGGACATGAAGGGAGAGAGAGGGGTAAAGGGTAGTCCTGGTCTCTGCTCATGGCCTGGGGGAAGGGCTGACACTTCAGTATGGCTAGGAGGGGTGAAATGACCAGGGAGGCATAGCATGACACCAGGTAGTGAGACCTGGGAAGCAGGATGGGGGCTAGGACCAAATCCTAGACCTAGAACCAGGTAAGGAGGTAAAGGAGGGACCCCAAAGGGAGGACGAGATCCAGGAGGGTGTTTTGTGGACAAAGCCAAGGCCAGGGGAGATGGGCTGAGAGGGGGAGTGGTCCATGGCCTGACCTAATTGCCCTTAATGCCAGGGGCCTTGCTGCCTGGGTCAGGCCACCCAAGAGGAGATGGGCCATTGTCCTTGGTTGTCAATAAATGAACAAAGCAGATTAATGTCTGCCTAACACCTGCTGTTTGGAAGAGACAGCCTCTCAAAATGGGAGGATCTATGGAGGAAAACAGTGAAAATTCAATGTTTGCTGGTAGCTTTTGTGAGTTGGGCCCTGGGTACTTAAAGATGATGGCTGTAAATCATTCCCAGGGCAGCAGGGAGACAGTTTGGTCTCAGGTGATGTCGGGAGATCTTGGTCAGAGCTAAGACTCAAGAGAATTCAGGTATCCCTGCTCAGGTATTAGAACCAGGAGAGACCATGAGACCACTTTGGGGTTACAACATGGTGGTGGCATTGGTGAGGTGGTGCAGGGGCAGGGCCTGTCCTGGAAGGATGGACCTCAGGATAAGGGGCCTGGACTTCCTCCGGTGGGTGAGAGAAGCAGCGGAGGCTCTTAGCACTTCAGGATCTGGGAGTGGGGGGATTCGGGGCTCTGCAGGGTCTAGGATGGAAGTGAAAGGCTAGACTAAGTAAGTGGTGAGGTTGACAGAAATATTGGACAGAATGGGAAGAACTTGACTGCAAGCTGGGTGTGGGGGTATCAGGATCAGTTGTAGGTCTTTCTGCCTGTTAAGTTGGGGAAGCAGGTTGGGAAAGAGAAGTTAGTTTGGATAAACTGGGTCTGAATGGATCGCAGGATCTGCAGGTGGCAGGGGCTCAGGAGGGAGGACATGCTTGGGGAGAGCTGTCAGAGTAGAGACCCCAGTCACGGGTGTTCACTGGGGCCCTGGGAGAGAGGTCAAGGTCAGGGGAGCTCCGGCCCCCACTACCTCTCCCCCCACCTCCCATGCAGCCCCCACCATGGGCAACACGCAGGAGAGGCCATCAGAGACGATCGATCGCGAGCGGAAACGCCTGGTAGAGACGCTGCAGTCGGACTCGGGGCTGCTGCTGGATGCGCTGCTGGCACGGGGCGTGCTCACCGGGCCCGAATACGAGGCGTTGGACGCGCTGCCTGATGCCGAGCGCAGGGTACGTCGCCTGCTGCTGCTGGTGCAAAGCAAGGGCGAAGCCGCCTGCCAGGAGCTGCTGAGCTGCGCCCAGCGAACCGTGCGCGCGCCCGACCCCGCCTGGGACTGGCAGCACGTGGGCACGGGTGAGAGCGCGCGCGAGGGCGGGACCTAGGTCAGAGGAGGGGGCGTGGCGTGGGAGGAAGGAGTTGAGGTCTTCCCCAAAGACCCGCACGTGTGCAGGGGAAACCTCAGAGGGGTAAAATGAATCTGAGGCACTCCCACCTCCGCCGTAGGCTACCGAGAACGAAGCTACGACCCTCCATGCCCAGGCCACTGGACTCCTGAGGCAGCTGGCTCAGGGACCGCATGCCCCTGGCTGCCCAGAGCTTCAGATTGCGATGAGGCGCGGGGTCCTGAGGACTCCGAGGCAGCGCAATCCGGAACCCTCGAGGAAACTGAGCCAGAGCTGGAAGCTGAGACCTCTGAAGGGGCTGAGCCGGAGTTGGAACCCCAAATGGATCCTGAACCAGAGCCAGGGACGGAACCAGAGCCCGACCTGGAGCCGGAGCCCGACCTGGAGCCGGAGCCCGACCTAGAGGCTGGGGACGAATCTGAAGGTGTGAGGCCGACCAAACCTGGTGGGAGGGCGTGGCCTGGGGGGCGGAGGGGGGGGTCCACCTGACTGACCACACCCCTTCCGTCATCTCTAGATTCCTGAAAGCCTTAAAGCTGACAGGCCGCTCCTCGCCCTAGCAGGATGGGATCTAGGATCCTGCCCTGCCGGGGTCAGATGCCACGAAGCCTCCCTCTGTCCCAGTACCACTGAAAGTGAATAAACTCTGGAGGGTCAGCTTGGACTCTGTGATTCTGGCTCTTTGCCCAGGAACTAGGGTGTGGATTTGTACCTCTAAGTCCCAATGACCTGGGCAGCCCTGTGCCCACGGCCCAGTCCTCAACCCCTTTCCATCCTCAATAGCCCAAGCTGTACCCCTGGAGAGTCCCCAGTGGGACAAGGGCCAGACCCTTGGGCCCTGCTCCACAGCCCTTTTATCCTCGTGAACCATTTGGGGACATGTGTAGTCACCAGCCCCACCTCATGAAAGCCCCTAGGCCTGGCACAAAGAGCCAGGAAAAGGGTACTTCTTTCCACTTAGAGAAGGCTAGAGCTCACCACCTTGGGAAGTGAGATTAGAAAGAGAAAGGGATCTCAAGTAGGCAGAGCCCACACAGTTCATTGTAATTGTTTTAATTGGCTTCTCTCAGGACTGGGAGCTCAGGGAGGGTTGTGACCAGTTAACTGGCACACAGAAGGCGCTCTATACATATTCACTGACTAAATGAATAAGGACTTTGCAGCTGTGTTTCCAAGTTTTCAGATGGGAAAACTAAGGCCAAGGGAGGGAGTAGGACAGGGTCAACCTCACACAGCTGAGTCTGAGATGAAACTGGAAGCAACAGTTATCTTGGCACCTCTCCTGGTCTAGGAGGGGCTCAGAACTAGGAACGAGGGGCCTGCCCCTCAGGCTTAATTGTGGCTGCTGCCAGGCTATGCCAACCTCTGCCAGAGACCAGCTGTGAGGGTGTGGGCAAAGACAGGGACAGTAGAGGCCAGTGCAGGGGATGAAGGCAGGGCCAGGTGAGCTCTTAGCTTGATTCGCAAGGGGTGTGTGTGTGTGTGTGTGTGTGTGTGTGTGTGTGTGTGTGAGTGTGAGTGAGAGAGTGAGTGAGTGAGTGAGTGAGTGGAGCTAGGAACAATTGGTGCCTTCCAGAGGAGCCCTGTTCCCTCCATCAAACCTTCAGAAACTGCTGCGTCCCAGCCCCAGTAAGTAGAGCACATAAATAAGGAATAAATACATGACAGTGGGAGAGGCAAAATGCTGGAAAGCACACCCCAGCCCAGCTGGGTCTCTACTACCAGGATCCCTGCTCCTTGAGTCTGTGTGAAAGCCAGGACCTCAGGCTCAGGCAGTCACCCCCAGAAGAAGGGAGATCCCCACCAGGACCCAGTGAGAGGTAGACAGCATGAAAGCTGAAGGAGCACCAAGGGGCCAGGTGGGGAGGAAAGGACTGGAGTATGCAGACACCCAAAGCCATCTCGTGCAAGAACAAGTTTCTACTCCCAAGCCACCCCCTCATCCCCATCCAGCTTCCCTCCTGCCCCCAGGCTTTTCCTCTGCTCAAAAGGCAGCTGGAGACAGGAGGGCAGATTTAGTTTGCCTGACATGCTGCTGTTGGCCTTCAGGGTCCCGGGAGGCTAGCAAGGGGCACAAACTCTCTGCTGTTGCCTCTCCTCCCTCCTGAAATGCTTCTGCCCTCCCCATTCCCCAAGAAACACGCAGGCTGTGGAAGCACAGAGCAGCCAGCTTCATGTTCTGGGGGCTGATCTGGAGCCCTCTTTCCAGGGCCCCTGCCTGTAGCCCTCAAGCAGTATCAGTCATCAGGCAGCAGGCGGCCCAGCTCTGCCTCATCCAGCCGGTTGGTGGTCATGATGTGCTCCAGCTGCTGCCGGTAGCGTGCTAAGTCCTGCATGAAGTGGGGCACCCGGGTTTTGTCCAGCACCCCATGGGGCCGAAGGTGATCTACATCCTCATAGGACACCTGCAGGAAGAAAGCTGGGCCTCAGGAGTAGGCAGGGTGCCCTGGCTTTCAGGCAGCTGGTCCCAGCTCTCTTGCAATGGCCCATAGCCCTTTGCTCCTGCAACTCCTCCCTCTCCCCTCCTGATCCACTCCCAATGTTATGTACCCTGAGGCTCAGTCCTGGGTGTTTGCTCTTTCTCTCAACACCTTGTTTTATCATCTACGTCCTACAACTTCACTCCTGTCTCCAGTCCAGCTTCCCCCCTCACCTCCAAACCTGGGTATCCAATTGCCTTCTGAACGCCTTCCCCAGGATATCCTTCAGGCACCTCAGACTCCCCATATCCAGCATTACTGGGTGCCAGCCTATGCCATCCCCACCCTCCTCACAGCCCCCTAGGTCACATTCCAGGTGGGCGCGTAGTATCTGTCACCCTCCCACTCAGAGTGGCCACTGAGTTAAAAAGATCCACTCTGAAGATCTCTCCAGCTTGCTGCTTCCCCTCCATCTGCACGGCCACTGCTGGGTTATGCCAGACCACCGTCGAGTCTGCAGAAGTGATTGGAAAGGCCTCCTCCTTTTCCCCCTGCACTCCCTTCCCTAGGCCTCTCCTCCCATATGACAGAGGGAGCCTTCTAAGGCAAACCATCTGTGCCACTCTTCTGCTCAAAGCTCCTAGGATTCCCCATTGCTTTGGATGAAATTCGACTTCCTCAGCCTGGCACAAATACCCAGCGCCAAGGACTTGTTCCCTGGCCATTTCTCCAGCCTCCTTCCCCAGGCCTTCCTGACTGCTCCCTTGGCCTGGAATGCTCTCACCTCCTTTGAAGTGCAGTGTCTACACACACACCTGTGGGCTGGCTCAAGCACCTATATTGGCTGCCAGACTGTCATTTCACTTCCTGTGCTCACCTCCACCCACGTTCCCCCCATCAGAGAGGCCTGGCACCCAGTCCTCAGTTGAGTTCCAATCAGAGGCTCAGGGAATACCGCAGTGATGGGGAGAGCTGGCTGGGCCCTCGAAGGCCCGTGGTCCCTCACCTTGCCCAGCGAGGTCAGCAGCGGGAAATCGATGGTCTGGCGATGCCGCAGAATGCGCACGATGCCATCCAGGTACACCTGATCCTTGCTGAAGCAGCCTGTGGACACGGGAGGGCCGTGAGCCCTAGGCCCAAAGCCCCACCTGAACCCCCCTCCGCACCCCTGCCACAGATCAGGACACTCCCCACTGCACAGGCGCCCACCGGGCAGCGAGGTGTCAGTCTGGCCGCGCTTGGCGCGCACGCAGTACTCCCAGCGCACGTCAGCGTCCTGCACGTAGCGCGCCAGGTCCTGGAACAGCTGGCGGAAGGACATGTGCGCGGCGCGGTGGATGGTGTAGTAGAGCAACGCGGCGCGCCACAGGAAGGGCTGCTTGCGGAACAGCACACTGTGCAGGCTGGCCAGGCCCTCCTCGGTGGGGTTCGCTGGCCGCAGCCCATACTGCAGCCGGCCCTCGGCGCTGTGCCACGGCTGCCGCGCGTTGTTCACGCCCCGCAGGTAGTGGGTACCTGTGGGGTGGGCGAGGGAGAGGCTGCGCTGGGCCGCACATCCAAGGGACCCTCCTGCCCAGCCTGGGTCCTGGTCTGCCCAGCTGGACCTCTAGCCAGCGACTCACTTATGCCTCTAAACCTAGGCTCTTACACAAGTCCCCTCCACCCCAAACTCAAACTCACCCAACCCCAGGCAGCATGAAGACTCTCCTCAGGTGAACTCACACCCAAGGATCCAGAGTCTCACATACATGAACCCTCCCTCACCCGTCCAGGGCTACACACACCCACACAAACTCTCCCAAACTCACACTGCCCCCCAACCCCCAGAGAGGTGCAGGAACTCACACACTACCCCAGCCCCACATCCTGCATGCCCATATCATGCTGATGTGCCCAGCAAAAACCATCTTTTGCCCAGAGCAACAGGATTCTTGATGAGGAGGGACAGACAGAAAAGAATAGTAATTAGTGTCCCATGCTCGCTTTTCCAGGCTGGCCCTAACCCCTCCTAAACCCAGCTCTGTGTGTTTTCAGCTAATTCCATTCCCAGGATCTGAACTTCCACCCACCGGGGAGGGCCTGCATGTTGGCTGGGCTTGTGGGACCCTTAGGGCTCTCCCTCTGGCCTGTCTGGGCCTCAGCAGTCTTGCCCCACTGTCAAGGGAAATCATAGAGGAAGTAGAGGGAGGAAAAGATACCCAGAAGGAACAAGAAATGAGGGTGAGCCCAGAGAGTGGGCTGGCATGTTCTGGCCTATGTCTGTGAGCCAGAGGAAGGAGGTAGCTGCTCCTGAAGGGAAGGGGCCCATCCTCCGGAGGGAAGGGGAAGAAAGAGAGGGGGTGGGGTTACTGGAGACCCTCACTGCCCCCCCCTTGTCCCAGCCCCCTCTCACCCCTACCCGCCCACCCGCCTACCCACACCCTGACCTATCTCGTGCCGCAGCATGCCCTCCAACCAATATTGGCGGGCTCCAGTCAGGTTGATGGCCAATGTTGGTCGGCTGTTCTCCACCATCATCACTGCCTGGGACAGCAGGTCCTCACTCAGCTGCACCACAACCTGCAGGCGGCAGAGCCCTGAGCCATGGCCACCAGCCCAGGGACCAGTGTGCAGGTGGGCCCACTGATGCCACAAGGCAGCCAGGCTGGACACTTGGCCACAACACCTACCCTTCCCCACCACTGCCTGGAGCCAGCTCCCACCTTACCGGGGCAGGGGCAGGGGCAGGGCTTGCCCGAGGTCACTAGCTCCATCAGTGTCGAGCTGGGTCTGGCATTGCCCACTCAGCAGCCTGGTTTGGAGCATGTGGAAAGGGGGCCTCGCAGGCAAGGCGAACTCACCTCCCCAGCGCAGCCCTCCTTCTGCATGTATTTGCGCACAATGGACCAGATCTGGCACTTGGTCAGCAGCTGGCCCCCAGTCGCAGCCTCAAAGCGTTCATAGGTACCAAACTTCTCCAGGACAGCCTCAATAATGCCAACCGCCTGCACAAAGGGCCACAGTGGCAGGTCAGGCCAGGCCTCTCAAGTGGTAGGGCCAGGGTGAGGTGGGCAGTCTGGACTGACCTGATGGAGGAACTGTCCAGAGGCCTCACTGTACTTCCCCAGCACAGCCGTAGGCATGGGCTCCTGATACTCGAACTGTGGGTTGTAGGTGTAATGGGACTGGAAGAACTTGTCCCGCTCACGGTCCATGTTGGTTGGCCGCAGGGCCACCAACATGCAGGGGCTCTTGCTTGCACCACGGCCTGCACCCTTGCGAGTCTTAGCAATGTGAGGCAGGGAGGCCGCAGGCCGCAGGGTGCCCCCACCTGGGTCCCGTCCCTGTCCAGGTGGCGCCCGACCCTGGGTGCTGCCCCCCCGCCGGCCAATACTGTTTACGGTGTAGGTGCTCTCACTGCGACGCATGTGGCCACGGTGGCCCAAGTGCAGCTCTGAGAAGGGCTGCGGCTCAGGCCGGGGCCGCAGGGCTGAGCGGACTGAGAGAGCCAGGGGCAAGGCCAGGGACCGAGGCCAGGGGTACAGTGCTGTCCCATCTCGGTCTGAGGGCCTCAGCCTGTGGCCCAAGGATGAGGGACTGGATGGCGGGCTGGGGGGTGCCTGCTCATACACCTGAGCCCCTGAGTCCAGCACCATTCTGTCCTGGTGGTCACATCCAGCTGGGTCACTCCAACTCCCCACACGGTCGACTTCTGGAGACACAGAAAGGCATGTGGAGACCAGCATGAGTGGGTGTGGCCTGAGGACCAGCAGGCCTTGTGCTCCATCCACACTGCCCTTGCTGGGCCTTTGGTGGGCCCAGGACCTGACGCCAGGTTCTAACCTGACCCCTCACCTCCACCCTAGTGTCCATCCCCTCCAGCAGGCTCACCCAAGCAAGCTGGACTGGGGGAAAGCAGGAGGAAGAGTCTCATACACCCAGCTAGATGGTGGTTACTCAAATCCCCTTAGACTGTGAGCTTCTGAGAGCAAGGCCTAAGCCCCTATTCATGATTCTTCTAATCCCTGTGCTCAGCGCCCACCCAGACTGGGAGTTTGGTACAGTGTAGCCTCAGCTGCCAGGATGACAGGTGAGGGGGTCTCACTACCTTCTACCTGCCTTCTACCTATGGCATTTTCTCAGTCTCACCCCGCCCCTCCCTCCTGGCTCCATCCACTTCCTCCAGCCCATTGGGATTGGGCCTCAGTCAGTTTGAATGCCTGCAGGCCCCTTGCTTATGCTAGTCCCTCCACCTGGAATGCTCTCTCTCCTGGGGCCATCTGCTCAAATCCAAATTAGAATCAGCTTTTGGTGAGCAGAGGGAAACTTCAGCAAATCCAAGCCAATCCCTGGTCTGTCCCCTAGAGTCATCTTTCTAGTGGTCATCCAAGGCCAGTGTCAGGACACTCACCCCTGACTCTACCAGGGCTCAGTCCAACCCAGTCTCTCCCCAGAGACTGACTGAAGGCTCCAGCCTCCAAACTCTCCTGCCTGCTCAGGGACATAATTCCAGCATTCCTCTCCTTTCCTACATCTCCTGCACCATCAATCTCTTCCTCTCTACTGGATTCTTCCCATCAGTATAAACACATGTTGTTATTTCTCCATCTTAAAAAACAAAACAAAACCCTCACTAGACCCCACACGCTTCCAGCTCCACTGCATCTCCCTCCAGCGGTTTCCTAGGGCAACACAACACCTCAAGTCGTCTATACTCAGTCTCCAATCCCTTCTTTCCTGTTATCTCTTCAATTTCGCTTCAAGTGGGGGCTTTTGTCCCCCACTCTCTATCAAAACTGATCTGACCAAGGTCACCAATGATCTTCGTATTGATCAGCAGAATTTGACAAATTTAATGACTTCATCTTGGCTTGGCCATGTTCTCCACTCGGTTCCCAAATACACTGGAACATGGTTCTCCCACCTCACTGGCTGTTTGTTCTTGGTCTTACTTGCTGGTAATCCCTATCTTTCTGACCTCTTGACACTATAATGTCCAGAACTTGGAAAATTCTCTCCTCTTCTCCGTTTATGCTCACTCCCTAGGTGATCTCATCCACTCTCATGGTTTTAAATATGTCAGCCCAAACTTCTTCCATGAACTTCAGACTAGTGTTGCCAGTTCTCCGTTCAACATCTTTACTTGAACGTCTAACTGAACATGTCCCCCGTCTGGAGTGCTTTCCCCTCATATAACTGCAGGGGTCACTCTCACTTTCCTCAGATTTCTGTACAAATATCTTTTTAGAAAAGCTTCCCTAACACACCCTCTATAAAATAAACCTACCCTAGACACTCTCCACCACAACCTCCCCTTCTCCACAATATTGTCCTATGATGCAGTTATCACCATCTGAAGTACAGTACAAGTGAGCTTATCTGTTTTCTCCTTTTAAGTGTTCACAGCTGTGTCCCCAGAACAGTTGCTTAATAAAGGAATGAAACCAAGAGCCTTTGTCCTTCTCAGAACTGGAATCATCCCTGCACTTTGCTTCCCCATCTAGTTCTGATCCCCTCCCCCTCCTCCCGGCACTCTGCCTAGTGACAAGCTGCTGGAAAAGATTTCAGGCCTCAGGCTTCCCTCCCCTGAACTAACTATACACTTTTCTGGATTCCTCACTGGTCTCTGGGGCCTCTGCTTGTACTAATCCCCTTCATCTCCACTTCTTTCATTTGACCTACCTCTTTGCAATTACCAGAATATGCCTGTTTCTTTCATGTCTCAGGTCCTTCTGCCAAAAATGCCCTCCCAATGTCTCCCCGTGGCAAACTCCTTAACCATTCTTCAGGACTTGGTTTAGGCCTCACTTCCTCCGGGAAGCCTTCCCAGCGTCTTAGAGGTTCCCAGTGCCCAGGCGGCTTTTTTACCATCCTAGGCTGTCACTGTTGGAGCCTAGGTCCGTGTCCCCCCATCATCCCCTGAACTCCCTGAGGGCAGGGACGGGTCCGATTCACCCCCATGACCAAAGTAGCCAGCTCTAGATGCAGACTGAATGAAAGATGGTTGTGGGAGGAGCCCAGGCTGAAGGCGGAGTCTGGTGATAAATGAGAGGGTGTGGCCTGAGCCAATAAGAAACTCCGGGAGAGGATAACGTGGAAGAGGAGCCAATGGGGACTGGGAGATCGAGGAGGGGCGTGACCTCCAGCCAATAAGAGGCGGGGGATGGGGCAAAGGGAGTGCCCAATGGAGGGCGGGGCCGGAGGACAATGGAGCGGGGTTCCCTGGTGGATGAGGAGGGGTCGCGTCGAACGCCTTCTCGGCCTCTCGGGGGTGGGGGGATTCCGTCCGCGTGCCGCGCCCCCACCTGTTCAATTCTCTTCTCGCCGCCGCCGTTCCCACTCCGCAACCCCGGCCGCCGGCTGCCCAGCCCTCGGGAGCCGACACTGGTGACGCACGCACTCGGGCGCGCGCACGCTCAGACGAAGGCGCGCGGATTCACGTCAATCTCCGCGGCTTCAAGCGCCCGAGGACATGGCTGGGGGTGGGGCCAGGCAGAGCCGGAGGGGGTCCACCATCGGGTCACGCCCCTGGGTGGGGTGTTGTCTTAAGCCCGCCCCCTCCGCCTCCATAGTTGGACTCAGCAGTCGCGCTGGAGACGCGAGCTCGCTGCTGGCGCACGGACACGTGGGGATGTAGTCCGTATACAGCGGCGGGAGCCCGGGTGCTTGGAAAGCAGCCCATATACAGGTCTGATGCCGGGATAGGTGGGGCGCAGACGTATTTCAGAAGTAGAGACAGGATACCTTAGGTATGTCACTGCACTTGGAACCCCTGACCTTCGCGGGGACTTTTATTTCTATCCCCCCTTCTCCAACGCACACAATTCAGGCGTACGGGGGCCGTGGCTTTATTCTGGGGGCAGCCGAGGGTCAGGCACAGGACCCCGAGGGGAGGCAGGAGGACAGTGGGGGTGCAGGTGCTGGCACGAGGCTGAAGAGTGCGCGTCCACCCGCTGGGGGCGAGGGCTGCGGGCCGGCCTGCAGAGAGCTGAGTGCGGCCAGGCGCTGCTCTCGGGACACGTCCCCGCGCAGGTCCAAGAGGGCGGAGACGTGATCCTCGCTATGGAGTACAGGTGCGTAAGCCCCGCCCAGCCCCCCCGGGTCCCTCCTCCTTTCCCGGCCGGTTTTCGCACCTCACGTCGGGAAATTGTTGCCGCAAGCCTGCCACCTCGAGACCAAGCAGCGTGGGGTCGCGGAGGTTCAGCAGCTCCCTCAAGGCGAGCAGCACTGGCGCGCACTGAACGCTCTCCTCCAGGCCCTGAACACGTCGGGGTTGGTCTCTCTCCAGCCCTCGGCCCCTACCCAACCACTGAGACTCCCGCCCATCTGCTCACCCAGATTCTCACCAAACCGAGGAAAAGCTCCCGAAGCTGGGCGGCATCGTGCCGCAGGCGCTCGGCCGCCTGGGTCCGCTCATCAGCACCGCGGCACACTAGACGGCCTTGCATCAGCGCACGTAGGTACTGCAGCACCACGGTACGCTCCGCCTCAGCCAGCAGCAGCTGCGGGGAGCACGATCAAATGGTTCCAGGACGCTTTTCCCATGGGCGCTTTCCCCCCTCCCCAGCCTTCCCCCGCAAACGCACCTGGACCGCAGGATCCCGCACGTGTCGGAAGTCCTGGCAGAAGCTCGCGGTCCGCTCGCACACGTCATCCAGCAGCTCTGGGCTCGACAGCCACCGGCGAGAGGGCAGAGCAGCGAATAGGGGCTGGAGCGGAGGTCAGAGACGCGGCTGGAGGGACGATTCAGATCCGGCATTCCCCGCAGAGACCCCCCCATGCATACGCTGTATCTCCTTCTCCCACCCCCATCTCCGTCTGAAGCCTCACCTGTAGCTCCGCCAGCAGCGCCTCCAACACCAGGCGGCAGATCCTCCTCTGCAACTCGTCCAGCGCTGCCTCCACCGGAGCTAAGGCCCCTGGAGCCACCCAGTCGGGCTGCAGGACGGACACGGAGGAGCTGGACCGACCAAAAGTACGGCTTCAGGACCAAGGCCAAGGCCCGAGAGGCCCTCCGTTGTCTAGCCACTCGGGCGCCACCTAGTGCCGCAAGTGTGTTCCGTGAGGGGGCAAGAAGGGCGGCTCCCTACACTTCTGAAAGTCTGGGCCACGGATTGAGGATGGGAGTGGTGGGCTCAGCGAACTAGAAGGGACATAGGCCAGCTGCACCTGCCTCTAATTCGCGGTGTGACCTTGGGCAAGTCATGTCTTTCAGTTTCTGTTTCAGTAAGGGGAGAGAGTTAATCCCAGTCAGGAGGGAGTCAAAATCATCGTTAATTTGTTTGTCCTCTCTGCCCCCACCCCAAAGAACATGAGACCCAAGAGGAAGGGAATGTTTTTGTTTCGTTCACAGCTGTAATGCCAGGCATAACCTGGCACAGAGTAGGGCCTTGATAAATATTTGTTGAATGAATGAATAATTGACACTATGTGCCAGGTACTGTGATAGGTACATTTTATGTTATCTCATGTGATTCTCAGAATGTCCATTATTACCCATATACTACTGATGACAAAAGCAAGATTCAGAAAGATTAGGTAACTGGCCCAAGGTCACACAGCTAGTAATTAGTAGAACTAGGATAGGAACCCCAGGGCTATGTGAGTCCAAAATTCCGAAAGGCCTAGTGTGAGCTGGGTCCATACCTAATAGGTGTTCAGTCAGGGGTTAGTGAAGGTGGGGTTCGGCGGGGGCCTCCTAGTACCTGAGTGCTGATTGGTGGTTGAGGGTGGCCAGTAGGTAGGGCACGTAATGAGGGGCCGTTGCTTCCCCCCTGAGGTGGTCTCGGGAGAATCGGATCAGAGCATCACTGAAGCTGCAAAGGGCAGAGGCGGCTCCTGTATCTGCTGTCACTCTGTGCAACCCCAGTCCTTGGTACTCTGGCCCCACCTCCAAGATACCCAAGGCCCTGTTTTGAAGGAGCCCTTTTCCACAGGTGTGTCTTATCTCTCAGAGCCCCTTAGCGCTGCCCCAGGATCAGGGCCAGGGGTTGGGAGTGGGTCAGTGCCTTGGCAGACCTCCTTAGGAATGCGCTCAGTTCTGACAGTGCCATGCCATGCACCCGCCGCTGCAGTGACTCACTGACCATTCTGGTCACGCGAATGTTCTCTTCCAGGATCTACAGGCAGGGATGGGCAGCCATCAGCAGAGTCCTAGTCCTGCCCTCTTTCCCTTTCCCTATGAGAGCTGCCCCCCTGCCTTGCCACTTTTCACCCACCTGCAGCACGATGGCTGGCATTGGTGAGTGGTAGAAGCCAGATGGGTCTGTGTCAGGCTCCTGCTCTCGGCCCCACTCAGCTACATCCCCGTCCAGTGCCTTCTGCAGCCACTGGGCCACACTTGCCTGGGGAAAGGGGCAAGGTGCAGCAGTATGTAGCAGGGCACTGACACTGCTAGAGACAGGTGGACATGCGACTCCACAGATACAGGCCCACAGCTGGTCGCAGAGCTGCTCTGAACCCAGGCCCCAACTACTCACCTGGACTTTGGCCACAAATATTGCCTCCAACTGCTCGATGTTCTCCAGGGTCAGGAGGGGCTCCAGATCAGACACATCAGCCTCGGGCCCTAATTCCAGGCTCCCCATCATTTCTGGCCTAGACATGGGTAGCCCAGTGTTACATTGAGCCTCCAGCCTTTGATGAACCCACTTCCCATTGCCCCAGGGACACTGACCCCAGGTACACATGCAGTGCCCAATGCAGCAAGGTGAAGGCATCGGCAGCTTCCAGCTGAGGCCCTTCCAGGAGTTGCTGCAGGCAGCGGCGCAGGCCGCTGTGCAGGGTGTGGGCCCACAGCCGGACCACGTTGTAGTGTGGTGGGCAGCAGGGTGCTACCAGTGCCTCAGCCGCGGCCAACTCTGCTGGTAGAGCCACCCGCAGAGCCTCCAGCCACTCTGCTAGTGCCCCTGGCCCAGGCTGCAGAGGTGTCCCAAAGTGGATCTGCTCCAAGCCCTCCTGTAGTGCCCGCAGACAGCGCTGCCGCCAGTCCCGGGCAGCCTGCTCCAGGGAGGTTGTGCGCCCAGCGTCTACTTCGGCCACACGCATAGCAGCCACCAGCAGGGCTGGATCCTCCCGTGCCAGCCGCCCTGCAGCCCCTGCAGCCGCCTCCACAGCCTGGCCCAGAGCCTCAGCCAGAGGGCCCAGCCCCTCGAACACTGGCAACTCCAGGCCCCCGAGAGGTGCCCACGTCTCCTCTTGTAGCTGCTCCAGTTCCCGAAGGCTCACATATGCCTCCAAGAGTCGCTGGGCATCAATCAGGGTCTGTGTGTGGGCCAATGCAGCAGGCACTAAGCAGGGAGAAGAGGCAGCCCTGGGTCTCAGCCTTCCCACCTGTGCAGTGGGTATAGCAGTAGATGCTGAGGGCCTGGGGCTGGGGTGATGTGTAAAATATTTAATTATCAGTACAGTAGAGCATTGGTCAATCTGAAAGGACCCAGGGAAGGGCCTACATGGTGGGCCAGGGGTAAACCCTTGAGCTGATGGAACATGAGGAAGTCAGGGATCTTGGAGGGAAGGTAGGGAGGAACTGCGGGGAACATACAAGTGGCTATTCATCCACCCCGTTAGGGAAATAGTTTAGTAAATTAACAGCCAGGTTGGCCAGAGCCACTTGGTGTCAGTCCTGACTCAGACATCCCATGCTTGGGAACCCCAGAATGAACTAATATGCACCCTTTCTTCATATGCCATTTGAAGCCTGAGTTACTGTCTGGGAGGTCGCCCACATGTCCATCCATGCAATCTCCCACTGGCGCCCCAGGCCCTTGATCAGTGATGGTGTTTGTCGACTACCTGTCGGAGGACTGCGGCCTAGGGCCCTACACACTCACCAGCTCGCAGCCGGGGCAGCAGCTGAGACATGGCCTGCAGTTGCTTGTGTTGCACAACCTGCTCCCGCAGGGGTTCTAGGGTCTGTGCAGCCTCAGCCATACCCCAGAGCAACCCATGAGCCTGGCCCAGGGCTTCGCGGGCTCCCTGCACCGCCTCAAGGGCCCAGGCCAGCTGCCGCACACCGGTCTTCACACCCTCCAGGTATGACTGCACCACCGACTGTGGGAGAGAGGCAGCCAGTGAGGCCTGGCCAGTCCTGCAGCCCGCCCTCAGCACTCCTGCCTCCTGCCTGATGCCCACCTTGATGCGTGCTTCCAGGGAACAGGTACGCTGCACCTCGCGGCTACGGTACTGGCCGAGCCTGGCCAGCTGCTCTGGCCGGTAGAAGATGCCCGAGGCCCACTTGAGTGCTGCACCCCGGGCCAGCTGCTCCGCCCTCTCCTGCTCCGGCCACTCAGGCCCTGGGCAGGAAGAGCCTGGGCAGCCGCGTCAGTTGGGCAGGGCCTGCAGGAAGTGGCTGCCAAATCTGCTCCCCTTCCTACCCCTCGGCCTGTCCCCCAGGGCAGTCCACTCCTCTCCCTGCCCTCCCTATAGAGCTCCAGCCAGACCTGGCAGGGAGGACCAACCCCACCATCCCCATCTTTCTTGCCACCATCCCCCCCTCAGCCCACCCAGAAGGGCTCATACCAGGGGGAAGTGCGGGCTGCATTTTGTCCCTGGCTGCTGAGTCCATGGCTGGTGGAGCCGGAGCGGAGGTAGGAATAGGGGCGAAGGTCCAGGTTAGAGCAAGTAGAGTGGGAGCGCCTCTGAGCTGCAGCCTCTGTCTAGGCCCCACTGAGAAGGAGGAAGGTTCTTGCCCAGCCCCCTCCGGAAATGAGAGGGAGGTGGGTGTGATGGGAAGGAACCTGAGACACCTTTGCCTGCCGGGTTTCTCAGTTTTGCCCCTCAGATGCAAGTGAAACAGGGTAGGCATGGGCCTCCACTGGACACCGCTCCTGCTCTGAGTTGCAGAGGACAGTTTGATATGGAACTCACCAGGCTTGGCCAGGCGTCCAGTTCTCCCTCCTGCACAGATAGCCTTGGCCTTGAGGATGGCCCTCTCCCCTGGCCTTCTTGGCAGAGCTGGGTACTCCCACCACTGGCTCATGAGACCCACACCTCAGCATGCAGCAAGAGACTTCCTCTCCCCAAGGAAGCCTCTGTCCCACCTCTCTGCCCAGGAGCTCCCTCCTCCCTCCAAGGTCCCGCCCTCTCCAAGGCCACATGCAGAAAGGAAGGAAGCTGAGTCTCTGGTACTTTATTCCCAACAGGAAAGAGCATCTGCACTGTGGGACAGAGTGGGGAGGGCTGGGCGCCACTTCCTCTCGGGGAGGGGGGGTGTACTCCCTGTGATCATTGAGACTTGAGCAGCCTATGCAGGATCTGTTGTGCTCAGGATACAGACATGAACTAGATGGCCCCAACCTGGATGGAGAGCGAGGTGTGCAAATATGGGTGTAGGCAACATCACAGTGTGACAACTGTGTTGACGGGCCCTTCGGAGGTGGGTGTGCCTCTGCACAGGAGCAAGAGATGACAGGCTGTCGTGAAGACGGTGTGTGGTAGGTGATCGCAGAGACGGGTGGAAGGGCTATGAAAGCTATGTTTGTCTTGGGAGTTAAAGGGAGCCATGGAAGGGACTACTAGGTAGTAATAATGTAGTGGACACTGGCTACTACCCGAATCCACCCTTCAGGACAAAGATACTTGTTCCCCCAGCTGCCAGAAATGTAGGCTGCTGAGGTCTCACAGTTGAGTCTCTCAGTCAATGTTAGGGTATAAAGGCCAGGTACCCTTGCCTTGGAAGGCCTTGGAAGAGTCACCCCAGTTTCAGAGCTCCGAGTAGGATGCGCCAAGTTCTCTGTTTTTTTTTTTTTTTTTTTTTAAAGTTCTCTGTTTTAAAGATTTTTTAAAAAAATAAATTTGCTTATTTTATTTATTTATTTATTTTTGCGGTACGCGGGCCTCTCACTGTTGTGGCCTCTCCCGTTGCAGAGCACAAGCTCCGGATGCGCAGGCTCAGCGGCCATGGCTCACGGTCCCAGGCGCTCCGCGGCATGTGGGATCTTCCCGGACCAGGGCACGAACCCGCGTCCCCTGCATCGGCAGGCGGACTCTAAACCACTGCGCCACCAGGGAAGCCCAAGAGTTTTTTGATGTGGACCATTTTTAAAGTCTCTATTGAATTTGTTACAATATTGCTTCTGTTTTACGTTTTGGTATTTTGGCCGTGAGGCATGTGGGATCTTAGCTCCCTGACCAGGGATCGAACCCACACCCCCTGCATTGCAAGGCGAAGTCTTAACCACTGGACGGCCAGGGAAGTCTCTGAGGCCTCTATTTTAACTGCATAGCAGTTTAATTCTCCTCTCTGCCCGATTCTGCCTGTCTTACTCCTTTACAAGTGTGGCTTCTCAGTAAACTTCTTGCAGGCACATCCCTGTTTCCCAAACAACTTGACCTAAAGTAAACAATAATAAATAATGACAATGTTAAAAATAACAAAATGATACTAGCAAACACACAGTCCTCCCACATGCCAGGAACAGCTCTAAGCGCTTTACATATATTTACACATAGGTAAACATGTTTGCACTGGTTGAAAAGTGGTTATAATCCCATGGCCTCTGAGCACTGCAGTGTGGAGATAAGAGAAAGATGAGGCTGGGGTCAGGGAAAGAGAGTGGGGATGGAGACAAGTGGACAAGCTAGATGTAGTTAGTGCTTGCTGTTTGGCAGGAAGTGAAGGACGGCAATAGGATGGGTGATCCCAAGACAGTGTGGCAGCCTTTAGGAGCAGGTTTGGGGAAACACACTGGGTTCATCAGGCAGCACAGTCTCCTCTCCTGAGATGAGGGTTGGGGTAGAGTTAGTGGAGTTGGGGCAGGTTGGCCAGCCCGTAAGGTTCCAGTGGCTCCTCCTTCCCTGCTGCCGGGGCTGCCCAAAGACTTCCTCCACATCCTTCCTTAACAACTCTGGTCTCCGGGGATCCTGGGGTTATTTTCGTCCTCTTCGGCGGTTGGACAATTGTTGATGGTCCCCGAAGTTTTTCGGCTGTGTTCGCAGAGATGAATTGTGCTGGATTCCCTGGGAGGGTGCGGAGCGGAAGCGGAAGCAGCGATGCTGGCGCCGGCGGCCTGGAGGCCAGGAACGGAAGCGGAAGTGGCGGCGGCGCCGGCCTGGCCTGGCCTGGCTGAGGGGAGGTGGCGGGAGGGCGCTATGGCGGAGGCCGGGCCACAGGCGCCGCCGCCCCCGGGCACCCCAAGCCGGCACGAGAAGAGTTTGGGACTTCTCACTACCAAGTTCGTGTCGCTTCTGCAGGAGGCAAAGGACGGCGTGCTTGACCTCAAGCTGGTGAGGCCCGGGCTAAGGGGCGACAGGGGGGATGGTGGACCAGGCCTGGGCCGGTAGCGGGAACCCCCGGGGCGGCCCAGCTGAGCCCTCAGAACAGGCCGCCATCCATGTGCTTTCTCACAGGAGGGAGGCCGGGAGCTGTTTCATTCATTCGGCCGAGGCCATTGGGCGTCAGCTATGTGCCAGGCTTGGGGCTGCAGGTGTTGGTCCTCGTGGCCCTCCCCGGCAGGTGTGGGGAGAAGAGCATCAGAACATCAGCTTAGGCGGCGCCAGGCCTCTTCCCGCCCCACAGTCCCGAGTTGCTGTAGTGCCTGGGAGGAGGGTTGGAATCAAGGCCACCCCCTTTTCAGACTACTCCAGACTAAGTCTCACCTGAGAGTGGGGCTGAGCATTCCCCACTCTCTTCTGCCTGCCAGGCAGCTGACACCCTAGCTGTTCGCCAGAAGCGGCGGATTTATGACATTACTAACGTGCTGGAAGGTATCGGGCTGATCGAGAAAAAATCCAAGAATAGCATCCAGTGGAAGTGAGTGGGGGCACCAGGGAGGGCAACGGGATCTCCTACCCAGAAGCGTCAGGGGTGTGGGGTGGAGGGTGCAAGAGAGAGCAGGGGCCGTGGGACCCAGAGTTCCTGGCAGCCCCTCTCAGCTCCACTCCCCGGGCTCAGGGGCGTGGGGCCTGGCTGCAATACCCGGGAGATCGCGGACAAGCTGATTGAGCTCAAGGCAGAGATCGAGGAGCTGCAGCAGCGAGAGCAAGAACTAGACCAGCACAAGGTGTGGGTGCAGCAGAGCATCCGGAACGTCACAGAGGATGTGCAGAACAGCTGATATCCTCCTGGCAGTCCCTGCTCCAGGGGAGTGGGCGAGGGGCCCTCTAGTCCAGCTGGGTTTGCTTGTGGTCCACTAGTCCCTATCCCTCTTGGGAGGGTGGTCCTACAGCTCCTGGCCAGGTTCCAGCCTCAGGCTCCCTCCTCAGAGCCTCTCGCCCACCAGTCTTGGACTGTGATCCCTCCCCATGTAGACCCCAGGCCTCAGGACTTTCTTTGAGAGCATATATGTCAGACCTCTGCTGGAGAGCTGGGTCTTCTCTGTGGTCAGCCATCTGTCGCCACGGGCAGGGCATAAGCCGTTCTCCTTAACCCCCACACCTTGGCCTACGTGACTCATGAGGACATCTGCAGATGCTTTGCTGGTGAGCAGAGCCTGGGTAGGGGGAGATGAGGGTGGGGATGGGTTGAGCCACAGCCCTGAGCAGTGGACTCAGTGCCCAAGAGATTTCTGTCTCTTAAGAGGGTTCCTGGGGCCCGCCCAAAGAAGAACCAGACAGGGTAAGTCCTGGGTTTGAGGGTCACTGGGACCCTATGGAGGCTAACCATACTGAGAGGGTACAAGAATCCTGGGCTGGGTCCCTGGGTCAATCCCTACCTGCATCGTCCCCTAGGTTTGGCTTCTCACGTGTGACAGAAGCATACAAGGGAGAACGTGTGTTTGCATGTTCATGTATGCTTGTATGCAGGGGGCAACGGTGCCCACTTCCAATCTACAGTTAGTTTAGTTGCCTTGTAGGTACAGGAACTGTTTCTTGTTCATCTTGCCTCTCCCAGTCTGGTTCAGGGGAAGGGATGTTGGCCTTGGCTAGAACATCTACGCTTGGGGAGCAGCCCCGTCAATCAAGTGAGGTGCCCATGGCCAGCAATCTTTTGCTCTATGTGTCTGAACCCAGATTTTCTGATTGCTGACCCCTGGGCTCTTAGGAGGAGAAAAGCTTTAGTTCTCTGCCCCAGCCTACTGTCCAGCCCCTCAGAGACCATGATCTCCTTCCTTACTCTAAGGGATAGGCACTCCATTCTCAGTTCAGATTGATCCCGTGGGCCTTGATCCATCCTCCTTGTCATCCTAGGAGACACCCTCCTTGCCATCCGGGCCCCATCGGGCACCAGCCTGGAGGTGCCCATCCCAGAGGTGGGTGCTCAGCCCAGCCATGTGGGGTTGGTTGAGGGCGGGTGCTGGCTGTGGAGCCCGATAAGTCCCGGGTGGGGCAGGTAGGGGGAGGCCTGGGGTTTGAGGTTATCTAGGAGAACGGGCAGCCTAGGGTGGGAGAGGACACTGGCCCTTGCCCAGGGTCAGGCAGGAGCCGGGCCTGCTTCCAATTCCACCTGTCCTCCACCCCACACCCTCACCGGTAGGGCCTCAATGGGCAGAAGAAGTACCAGATTCACCTGAAGAGCATAAGTGGCCCCATCGAGGTGCTGCTGGTGAACAAGGAGGCATGGAGCTCACCACCTGTGGCGGTACCTGTGCCGCCACCCGAAGATCTGCTCCAGAGCCCACCTACTGTCTCTACCCCTCCGCCTCTGCCCAAGCCTGCTCTGGTCCCGCCCCAGGATGCCTCACGCCCAAGCAGTCCCCAGGTGACCACCCCCAACCCTGTTCCCGGCAGCACCGAAGCCCAGGGGGTGGCCGGTCCAGCCGCTGAGCTCACAGGTGAGGCACAATGGCGTGGTGGTGATGGGGTGATTTCTGGGGCCCAAGAGGCAATACCTCTGTGTGATGGAATGCTGTACTCAGAGTGGAAGGGACCCTGTGGTGTTCTTTCTCCTGCTCCCCCATCCCGCAGGCCTCTCCTTGCTAGTGCAGCGAATGGCCCTTGTTAACAGGGAAGTTCTGACTGTGTGAAGGGCATTAGTGGTGGCAGTTTTCCCCCAGATCTGCCAGTGTCACAGTTGCCCTGGCAGCCCCTCTTGAAGTGTGGTCACAGGGGCCATGTCCGTGAGTCTCCCTCCTGCAGGCTTCATGCCCTTGTCTCCTTCAGTGACTGATATTCACGTTACCTTTTTGGGAGTGATGGGCAGTGCCTAACTTTCCTTGGGCCTAGTAACTAGGGTGCTAATCATCCTGGCTGTGGCTTCTAGCAGGGCCAGCTTCAATACCCTGCTTCCTGTCCCCAAGTGACTGGGTTTGGGGGATGTGGTTGCAGTGAGTGCTATCCCTGGAACCGATAACAAGGACGGTGGTGAGCTCAGCTCCCTCCCGCTAGGCCTGACAGCACTGGACACCCGGCCGCTGCAGTCCTCTGCCCTGTTGGACAGCAGCAGCAGCAGCAGCAGCAATAGCAGTTCATCCGGACCCAACCCTTCTACCTCCTTTGAGCCCATCAAGGCAGACCCCACAGGTGGTGAGTACTTGTCCCCTTGGCAGCAATGAGAACCCAGCCTCAGACAGTCCTAGGTCAGAAACAAGAGTTGGGCTTGGAACCCAACTCTCCTATCTCCTCAGCCAAAGCTGGCCAGCCCCCTGCCATCAACCAGAGCTCTGCCAGCCAAGGTGAGGAGCCTGGCCTCTGGCTTGGTGCTGGTGCCCCTTTGCCTCCTTCCTGGGCTGACACAGAACTCCCTGGCCCTCCCTCAAGCCCTGCCTGCCACCCCTTGGACCCTGGTCTCAAGGAAGGTGTGAATGCTCTCCTGGGGAACGGGCTGTGGTATGGCCCTCAGGCTCCAAAGGTGGGCAGTATGTTCTTAGGAGAGGTGGTGTCATCTGCCGGGTGTCTCCTCTCCATCTTGTGACTTGAGTGTTTGCTTTTTCCAGGACTCATTCTCCTCGGCCCTCAAGCACTGCTAAGTCTCTCCTCGTTAAATGACACTTCATCGCCTGTGTCTCTCTCTTTCTTCTTCCCTATATCCTCTGTGTTTGGACTCCTTGATAAAGTCATCTCCATTCTACTCCATACCCTGGTCTCCTAGTCAGCCTTCGGGTTGCGGCAGTCAGGACCCCAAACCCCCACCCCATGCTACACCAGTGCTACTCTTGATAAGTTGCCCAGCTCTGACAGCCAGCTCCAGCAGGTTTCTGGCCAATTTGCTCTGGTGCTCTCCTGCTCTGTGTTGATGCTCTTTTTTCTCCTTTGGCATTAACGATGTCAGCTCTTGGTTCTTCTCCCTTAATTGGCTTCTTCTTCTGACCTCTCCCTGGCATGGCTTTAAATCTGGTTTCTCAGATCTCTGGCTCATTCCAAACCTGTGGAGGGCCCCAGTTCTGGGTAGATGAATCCCAGCCTCCATCTTGCCTAGGCCTTTTGCCTGAACTTTACCTCTTGTGTCCACGTGCCTTCCTCTGCACATCCAGTGGGCACTTCATTCCCATGTGTCCTCAACTGAAACTTGGATTTCCACCTTTGTGCATACCCGACCACTGGCCCTAGTCACCCAGGCCTGACACCTGGGGTCAACTCCAGCTCTATCTCCTCCTCCCTCCTTGTCCTGCTCCCCACCCCACATCAGCTTAGTGAGTTCTCTTGCAGACATCCCCCATGGATGGCCTCATGTATCCTAACACTCAGGATCACTGCCAGCCACCTCTATCCTAAGTTCTTCAGCATCTTCTTCACCCCGACTGACAAGAATCTGTTTGAAACACAGCCTGACTGGCATTTCTCTGTTTACAAAATTACCTTTAACAGCTCCCAAAGGTCTGCTGGATAAAACCAGAGCCCCTAAACCTGGCATATAAAATCCCTCGTGATCCAGCTCCAGCACTCCTTTCCTCTGTTTCCCATGTGTGTCCTCCTGGTTAGACCTTTGTAGCAGTGTCATCACCCTGTAGCACTATCCCCTATTTAAGAATGCCTCCTCCTCTGCCAGGTGACTGGCCTGGGCTGTGGTCTCTGAGCCTGGCACCAAGTAGGTGCTTAGCAAGGGCAGGGATGGACAGGACATTCTCTGTCAGACAGGGCATCCTGCATCAGACAGAGTATCCTCCATCAGACAGGGTATGTACTCTGAGCTTAGAAATGGAGAGGGTGTGCTGCCCTTCTGCCAAACCACTGAGTTAGAAGGGCTGTACCGATTACCTACAGTGGTCCTTTGGCACCGAGGAATTCAGGTCTGGTAGGGGAGACTTGCAGACAGTGCCGGCTTGGTCTGGTGCAGGGCCTACATCTCAGCTGTGTGGAGCCCCTGGGTGGGTGATAAAGGATCTGGGGAAGTGGGGGCTAGAGTGGGACCAGGCTGGATCTCTGTGCCCTTGAGCATGGCTTTCTTGTCTTTCAGTTCTGGAGCTCCCCAAAGAGCTGTCAGAAATCTTTGATCCCACTCGAGGTAGGGCTGTGTTCTTCCCTGGGGCTGGGGTGAGGGGCACAGCTCATTGGGTGTTAGGGCCGTCTTCTTGCCCTTCTGAGGACCTTATGATTGTGCCCGGTACCTGGGCAAAGGGTAAAGTTCCTGATGGTGGCTGGGTGGTCCCCTTCATGGGCTTTGGTGGGTGGAGAGGCAGGAGCCAGAATGTAACTGAGCTCTCCCTCCATCCCCAGAGTGCATGAGCTCAGAGCTCTTGGAGGAGCTGATGTCCTCAGAAGGTAGGTGGCCCAGGCAGGTGGGGGGTGAGTGTGTGTGGGCAGGGTTTGGGTGGCTGCTGGGTGGGGTCTTGGCCCTGGGGCCTCAGCCTGTTGCTCTCTGCAGTGTTTGCACCCCTCCTCCGCCTTTCTCCACCCCCTGGAGACCACGATTACATCTACAACCTGGATGAGAGTGAAGGTGTCTGTGACCTCTTTGATGTGCCTGTTCTCAACCTCTGACTGACAGGGGCATGCCCTTTGTGGCTGGGACACAGACTGTCTAACCTGGGGGCTGCCTGGGGACCTCCCCCCACCCCACCCCTACACAGCTTGAGAGCCGTAGACTCCTGGCTTCCCCAGCCTTCCCTCACTGCACAGTTCTGGCCACAAGTCCCACTCCTGCACCAACACCTGTTCTGTGCTGGGAGAGCAGGGGAAAGGGGCTTAGCCCTCTCCACTGTGGAGCCAAAGTGTTTGCCACTCCTTTTTGGAGGCCTTCCCCTACCTGGTAGCCTCCCCCGGCCCTCCCAGAGTTCAGTTTCAGCTGCCACCCAGTGGCACAGATCCAAGGACCCTCCATCACCCTCCTTAGGGCAGCTCGTCCAGCCCCACTGCCCTGTACCTGCCAGCCCTTCCCCCTCCAGGAGGAAGCATGGGGTGGGGCTGGGCACTTGCCAGCACCTAGCCTAGCCTCCTTCACTTCTCCCCACGCGGATCACACAGCTCCTTCTGTACCGCTCGTGTGCTCCCTTTTTGCTGGACCCTTGGCCCTGAGAACCTGTTGGGGCGGGCAGGTTGCTAACAGGAGGAATGGAGATCTCTAGCTAGGAATCTGGTCGGGAGAGTCCCTGAGGATTGGCCCGGCCTCCCTCTGCCCCACAGTCCCCCTCTTGTTTATTCATTTATCCTCATTTAGAGCCATTTGCAGAGATTTAGAAAGATTTGCAGTAACGAATGGATTCCTATATAAAGATTATTTTTATACTTTTTGCAACAAAAGGAAATTGTAATATTTGTACAGTGTCCAAATGAATAAAGACCATGCCTAAGGCTGTCTTTGATCTGGTTCTTTCAGGGATCCTCCCTGGGACTGTGCTGGATTGGTGGTGGGAACGGGCGGGTCAACTTTCTGGAAAAGGTGTGGCGGTGCTGACAGCCCGCCCTCCCCACCCCCACCTGCCGCACCTTGGGGCGGGGCGGGGCCGCCTCTGCGGGGCGGGGCGGGGCAGGCACCCTCCTACCCTCCTACCCCCGGGACTCCAACCCGGAACTAGCCTCCGCTCTGGCTCCCTTGGGAAGGCCGCGGCGCCTTGTCGGGAGTGGGAGCCTGGGCTGTGAGTGCGGGCCACGGGAACCAAGTCTCGGGCAGAGGAACACCTTCGTCCTCAGGGGCCTCAGACCAGGTGTGCCCTCGGCGGGAAGTTGCACATCTGGAAAGTACAGAGGCCCCCACCTCGGGTAGACTATGGCGCCCCCGCGGAATGTAGTGAAGATCGCCGTCCAGATGCGCGACGCCATCCCGCAGCTCATCCAGCTGGACCAGGTCACCCGGACTGTCTGGCCTCCGTCCACCCCACCACCTACCTCCGGGTTGCCCCTTTCCCCTCGAATAGCCCCCCCCCTCCCCCAGGCTCCTCCCCAACTCCCACTCCCATCCGGTGAGTGACTGTTCCACTTGTAGGCAAAACCCCTGGCCGCTGTGCTGAAGGAGGTGTGCGACGCGTGAGTGCGGGTCTGCCGGGGCATGCCGGGTGGCTGGTGGGAGGGCAGGAGGGAGAGGGCGCCCCCTACCCGCCTCGCTGAGCCTCTGCTGCCCGCAGGTGGAGCTTGCCTCACTCTGAGCGCTATGCCCTACAGTTTGCTGATGGGCACAGGAGATACATCACTGAGAACGTGAGTCCCCTCCCCGCCCCACATTCCACTCTGTGACCCCTTTAACCCACCTGGCTCTGACTCAGAGTCATCATCCCACTCTCTGGAACCTGATCTTTCTTTTCACTGACTCCCAAATCCTCCCTTATTGACAACCCCAATTAACCAATCCTCAGAGCCCTTCTTGACTTCTCTTCATTTTCTGCCATCTTTTCCAGAACCGCACGGAGATCAAGAATGGCAGCATCCTGTGCCTCAGTACTGCCCCAGTAATGTCCCTCCTGACCATGCCCTCATTCTGTGCCCCTCTGCTATGCCTCTTCTCTGCCCGCCACTGGCACCTGGGCCCTAGGTCTGGAGGCCCCAGCCCTAACCCCAGCTCCAGCCCAGTAGTGCCCCACCTAGTGGACACCCAAGTCCCCACATCCCCAGTTCCCACTCCTTACCTCCTCACCTCTGTTCTTGCTCCCACCCCTGGCAGGACCTTGAGGCTGAGCGGTTGTTGCGTGGGCTGCAGAGCGAGAGTTGTGAAGGGCGCCGGGAAGCCCTTCAGCACCTCGTTCTGCTGGCCCCAGACATGACCTTCACCCGGGAAGTCATCAGCCGTGATGGGCTTCAGAGACTAGGCTCCATCATTGAGGATGGGGACGAGTGAGCCCAGGGCTGTGGTGGGTGGTGGACATGGTGGGGCTGGGCCTCCTGGTCTGGTCCTCTTAGCCCCACATGTCTCCCCAGCCTAGGAGAGGTGCTGGCCCTCGCACTGAGGGCCTTCTTGGAGCTCATGGAGCATGGTGTGGTGTCCTGGGAGACGCTCAGCATCCCCTTTGTTAGGAAGGTGGGTGGGCTTTTCTAGGGGTAACAGGTGGGGGCAGTGGAGTGGTGTCAGGGTCTGGCCTTCCATGGTGCTGAGGTGGTGACAACCCCTGCTCCTCTAAAGGTGGTGTGCTATGTGAACATGAACCTCATGGATGCATCTGTGCAGCCCCTGGCCCTGGGGTTGCTGGAGAGTGTGACCTTGAGCAGCCCTGCCCTGGGCCAGCTGGTCAAGAGTGAGGTGCCACTGGATAGGCTGCTGGTGCACCTACAGGTGTAAGTGTCTGGAGGTGGGGTGCAGATGAGTGGAGCGGGGCTGGACCTTGGATGGCCGGCTGAGCCCTCTTCCTGTCTCAGGATGAACCAGCAGCTGCAAACCAAGGCCATGGCACTGCTGACAGCTTTGCTGCAGGGGGCCAGCGCTGCTGAACGTAAGGTGGGTGTCCAACCAGTGGCTGGATTGGTGGGGGGAGGAGCTGGTGGGCAGTGTGCTCCACAGTGGGCCTGCAGGATGGGTGCTCATGGTGGGGCTAAATCACCTGAGTCCCCTTCCCACCCACCTCAGCACATGCTTGACTACCTGTGGCAGAGAAACCTTCGCCAGTTCATCTACAAGGTAGGAAGGACCAGGCCAGGCAGACCCTTCCCCGCTCCTCTCCTCGTGGCCCACACTCACACCCGTGAACTGGCTGTTCTCCAGCACATCATCCATAGTGCAGCGCCCCTGGGCGACGAGATGGCTCACCACTTGTACGTACTGCAGGCCCTTACGCTGGGGCTGCTGGAGCCACGCATGCGGACGCCACTGGACCCCTACAGCCAGGTAGGTGCCTTTGGGGCACACGAGGCTGGGGATGGCTGGAGCTTGGCCTTGAATCTTCAATCTTAACACCACTCCAACAACGACCCCAGGAGCAGCGGGAGCAGCTGCAGGCCCTGCGTCAGGCTGCCTTTGAACCGGAGGGGGAGTCCCTGGGCACTGGGCTGAGTGCTGACCGTCGCCGTTCCCTCTGTGCCCGCGAGTTCCGCAAACTGGGCTTCTCTGTGAGTGACCCCTATCCAGCTCCCTGCCCTTGCCTCAACCCAGGGCTGCTGTTGTTCCAGAGGGCTGGGCCCTTCCTCAGCTGCCTCTCCCCCTTCCCCCAGAACAGCAACCCTGCGCAGGACCTGGAGCGCGTGCCCCCTGGCCTGCTGGCCCTGGACAACATGCTCTACTTCTCCAGACACGCGCCCAGCGCCTACAGCCGGGTCAGTGACAGGGTGGGGTGGGATACGGCAGGTTGCCACCTAGGCGGGGGGTCTCCACAGCCTCAGTCGTGACTCCCCACCCCGTCCTGTGCTCCCACCACCCCAGTTTGTGTTGGAGAACAGCAGCCGTGAGGACAAGCACGAGTGTCCCTTTGCCCGGAGCAGCATCCAGCTGACTGTGCTGCTGTGTGAACTGCTCCATGTCGGGGAGCCCTGTGAGTGGTACTGGGCACAGCATGTCCAGGAACGGGGGACGGAAGGGCAGAGAGGGCCAGGGGCTGCACACACTTTCTCCCTGAGCCCCTCCTGCCCCCCCGCTCCAGGCTCCGAAACTGCCCAGGACTTTTCACCCATGTTCTTTGGCCAAGACCAGAGCTTCCATGAGCTCTTCTGTGTGAGCATCCAGCTGCTGAATAAGACCTGGAAGGAGATGCGGGCCACTCAGGAAGACTTCGACAAGGTGCGTAGGGTGGGAACAGGGAAACCTGGGCCAGGGCGGGGGATTGTTCTGGGTCGGGGCCCAGAACTCAGGCCCTGAGCTAAGCTTGGGGTGGCCCCAGGTCACACAAGTGGTGCGGGAGCAGCTGGCCCGCACGCTGGCCCTGAAGCCCAGCTCCCTGGAGCTCTTCCGAACCAAGGTGAATGCGCTCACCTACGGGGAGGTCCTGCGCCTGCGGCAGACAGAGCGGCTGCATCAGGAAGGCACACTGGCCCCTCCCATTCTGTGAGTTGGTGGGGATGGGTCCCAGTCCTAGCCCCCACCTTCCCTGCTGCCCCCTGGGCCTCACTCAGGCCCAGGTCGTCCTGTTCAGCGAGCCCCCTCCCCCCCTCCCCCAGGGAGCTGCGGGAGAAGCTGAAGCCAGAGCTCATGGGCCTGATCCGCCAGCAGCGTTTGCTCCGCCTCTGCGAGGGGACACTCTTCCGCAAGATCAGCAGCCGACGGCGCCAGGGTCATTGCTTGGGCAGTGGGGCTGGAGAGCGGCTGGGCTGGGGTCAGGGCGTGTCCCTCTCGTCACTCCTTCCCTCTTACCCTTTCTGCCCACAGACAAGCTGTGGTTCTGCTGCCTGTCCCCCAACCACAAGGTGCTGCAGTATGGGGATGTGGAGGAGGGCGTCGGCCCGCCCACCCCCGAGAGCCTGCCTGAGCAGCGTAAGGAGGGCAGGGTAGGGGTCAGACACCTGCTCTTCCCAGACTGCCGCCCCACCCCGGGACCGCCTGGGGTCCCAGTGGTCAGCCCTACCTTCTTCCTGCAGTCCCTGTGGCCGACATCAGGGCACTGCTGACAGGCAAGGACTGCCCCCACGTCCGGGAGAAGGGCTCGGGAAAGCAGAACAAGGTGAGTGCAGTGGGGACCAGGGGCTCCTTCCCGCCCGCTCCTGCCGTGCCCCCTGCTTAGTGCTCCTGGCTCCCTTGCTTCCCCAGGACGTCTGTGAGTTGGCTTTCTCAGTCAGCTATGACCACGGGGAGGAGGAGGCATACCTCAACTTCGTTGCCCCATCCAAACGGGAGGTGAGTGTCCGGGCAGGCTGAGCAGAGTCGGGCAGACGGGCAGGGGAAGAGACGGGAAGGCCCTCATGGAGATGGCCCCATCCCCAGTTCCACCTGTGGACAGATGGGCTGAGCGCCCTGCTGGGCAGTCCCATGGGCAGTGAGCAGACACGGCTGGACCTGGAGCAGCTGCTGACCATGGAAACCAAGCTGCGGTTGCTGGAGCTGGAAAATGTGCCCATCCCTGAGCAGCCACCCCCCGTTCCCCCACCCCCCACCAACTTCAACTTCTGCTACGACTGCAGCATCGCTGAACCTTGACAGTGAGGTTGGCCAAGGGCCACAGCTGCTGCCACTGTGGTGGCCACAAAGGGTGGAGGGGGGAGAAGCACAGGCACCCTGACCAGCAGAGGCTGCAGCAGAAATAAAGTCTGCTTGGCTCTTAGACATGTGTTGAGCCAGCTCTGAACCCTGCAGGCTAAGCCTGCCTTCAAGCTTAGCTGGCAGATAAGATGAGGGCATCAGGCCAGGGCCACAGCTTGGGGCCACAAACCTGGGCAGCTACAGTTGAGGGGCTGGTGTTCCGAAGGACGGTGGGGACCGGCTGGCCCTGTTACCTTTCTCCAGCGTGAGTCCTCAGCCTCCCTCAGTGCTAAGCCTGCAAAGAAGGATGGCCTGTAGTCTGGGGGCACCAGCTGAGAGAGGTCTGGGGCTGCCAGCCAGCTGAGGGTGAGGTGGTAGGGCAGGAGGCATTTCCCCAAGTGGATGCCTTTCTGGGCGCCATTAACAGGGGCCTAGTCTGGGAGCCATGTTTCCAGAAGAAGACTCCTGACAGTCTGAGCTCAGTCCTCAACCCTGCTTGGCCCTTCCCCTGCGTCATTTGTGGGTCGTGACGGCCTCCTGTTGAGAGGCGTGAAGGGAGAGATGTGAAGTTGGGTATGCTTTGTGCTGAAGGGCAAACTCAAGGTTCCAAAAGATGTCCCCCAGGCCAGTGGGAGGATGTAGGCTGATTCTGACAAGGGGGAATTTAGTGCAGCAAGCCTGCATTCTGATTAAAACCCAACTGCAGCAGCATGGGTGGGGTGGGGGCCACAGACAGGCCAGCTGGAGGTGAAGCTCGGAGGCTATGGTCACAGACCCCAAGCCTCTGAGGCAAAGAGGAGCACACCCACCCACAGGACCCACGGGCAGGCTGGAAGCTGCCAGCCACCACCCTCTGACCTCCTCCATGCCTCTCACTACCTCTCTTTCCCAGTGCCTCCTCAAAATATGTTTTTTAAGCGTTAACCATCACCATGTTACCTAAAAACTGATGATACGACACCTCCTTTGAAGAATGTTCTGGGGGAGTACTTGTTCCCTCTCTCTAGCTATGCTTCTGACTTGGGCATTCAGGGCCCCACATGCCCACTCCTGCATTCAGACTTCCCACCGCACTTAGAATAGTCCCTGTTGAGTTCAAGGTGCAAATGGGGAGCCCAAGTGCAGTTAAGTCTCCTAATACCATCAATTCTTCCTTCTCAGTGTCTCCAGTCCCTTGTTACAGGCCACCATCATCTTGGCAGGAACCTCCTGACTTCCTGCCTCCTGTCTCGCCCTTCCAATCTTCTCAATACCAACTACCACACTGCTTTCTCAAACAGGAAGCCGATCTGATTACACACTCACACACACACTGTCTCCCCTGTATTCTTCGGTGTCTCCCTGTTGACCGTGGATAATGGTCACGGTACCATGATTGAACAGAATCGAGATGGGTTGCAGACGCGTTGTGGTTTAGCCCTTTCAACAGAGTGCTTGTGGCTTACAGAGTCACAAGCATGTGGACCAAGGATGCTCGGTCCAAGCTGGCATCCTCCCTGCCTGCCATGGGACTGGGACTACCCCTACACCCGGCGCCAGCTCTGGCCTGCCCATGTGCACCTCCCTGGTCCCTTCTGCCTAATTGTCTCCTTCCCTCCCTCCTCTTTTTTCACTGACTTGAGTCTTTCCTTGACCTCCCAGGCTAAGCTTATAGCTTCTGTCTCTGTTTAGGAGGTTGGACTAGACCTCTAATGACCCTTCCTACCCAGAGATGCTATCCTCTTTAGTGTCTTGTGTGTGCTGAAAACAGCCTCACTGACTCAGGCAGCCTTAATCACTGCTCCTGGGATCTGGCTGGGATGAGGGTACACAGACATGCCTTTGCTGCAGGACATGTCCTGGGGCTTGTGCTGGGGAGAGGCCTCTGGAGTCTCCCACCATGTGGGGAAGAAGCTAGGACCTGCTGGGGGCACCTGTAGGGCTTTGGGCCAGGTGTGAGGAAGAAACTGTCCCTCTGGCGTTTCCTACACATTGTCCCTGGGCTGGGCTGCTTCATCTGAGGTGGGGAGGGAAGGGGCCGTTTGAGAACTTCGGACAAGGAGGTGAGATCTGGAATTTTTAATCTTGTTGGGTATACAACAAAGACTGTGGCTTGGCTGCTAAAGCTCAGTGCTGGTAGGGGGCTGGGAGAGCTGTGGGGAACAGTACAGGCCCTAGTGTGAGAAGGGGCAGGGCCAGAGGCACAGGGTCTGTTCCTCCCAACACCAGACCCAGCCCACCTGTGGGCCTGGCCTCTGGACCCAGGCCTGGACAGGAGAGCAGGAGCTGGCATTTCCAGGGGCCTGTGGCAGTGACATGTAGCTGGAAAAGGTTCCTGCTGGGCTGTGGGGCAGACTGGGGCAGGAAGCCCCTTGGGCTGCCCTGATATAGTCCCACCCTTAGTCCTAGAAAAGGGGTTTTTAGCTTGGGGAAGGGGCTCTGGGGCATGTAGCAGAGGGAGGTGGGAGGCACTGAGTCAAACTCCAGGTCAAGAGGCCAGGCCTCTGGAGGTGACAGAGGCTGAGCCACAGGGCTGGTTACTGACCTGGCCTCAGAGTGTTAGGGTCAGGTCAGCCTCTCCCACGAAGCGGGACTGGACGCAGGTCACCTCAGGCAGTTGGGCTTGGAAGCGCCTGACGGAAGCCATGCTAATGCCAGGACACATGGCCACATCTGCCATCCGGAGCTGCTTGCACGCCTGCCCAGTGGAACCCAGCGTTCCGCAGGGAGGCCACTGGGCGAGCGCTTGACCCGGCACGGGGCCCCAGCCCAGCCCCTACACTGTGCAGCACCGGACACACTCACTGCTCCGAGCGCTGACTGCACCTGGACAGGTTGAGGTGCTGCAGCCTTGGCCAGGAGCCGGCTGCCTGGACCCAGCCCTCGTCGCTGAGGCGGCTGCAGTGACTCAGCACCAAGCGCTCCACGCTGGGGCAGCCTCTGGCCGCAGCCAGCAAGCCCTTGTCTGTGAGTGCTGGCAACAGGCTCAGTGACAGCCGCCTCAGCTGGGGGACCTGGAGCACCTGCGAGGATGGCGGGGGGCGGGTGGTGTGGTGCTGGAGCCCTTCCAGCTTCCCCCACCCCCAGCCAGAGGAATGGCTACGGGCAGCAGAAGCCAATGAGAAATGACTTTTTCCAGGCAAAAAGTGGGTTGGCCCTGACCGCTGGTTTCAGCTGCAGGGCCTTCAGCCTATCCACATCCCCAGCCCCACACCTTGGTCAAACTGGCATCAGTCAGCTTGCTGCAGGCTGTGAGGTCCAAGTCCCGTAGGGCCTGCAGCGTGACTAGGGCGGGCCCTATGGCCAGGGAGAAGGGTCCTTTTGCGGCTGGAGGCCCGATGCCCAGCTCTCGGGGTGGCTGTGAGAGGAAGCCCCTGCTTCCCAGATTCCTCCTGAGTTTGGCCTTCAGCTGCTCCCAGAGACAGGCGCAGGAGGGGCAGGAGGGCAGCTGAGCCCAGGGACCGCCCCGCCTGCCATGACCTCGAGGGTCCCACACCTGCGGCCCCTGCAGAGTCTCCTCACTTGGTTGCCCCAAGCCCAGAAGCCCCCGGTCACGGAGCTCCTTGCACCAGGCCAGGTGCGGGACTGACAGGTGGGTGAGGTAGGTGCAGATGGCCTGCACGGTCCGGTTGGTGAGGGGCCACGCAGGAGGATAAGTCTAGAACCCTGAGGCTTGGGCCCAGTGCTGGCATCAGGGAGAGCACTGAGGCGTCCTAGGAGGGAAGTGGAAGAGGGAGAGGGCAATGGAGTGGTGGCTTGTGCCTGTGTCACCGGGCTTGGCGGGGGTCACTAGGAAGGTTCTGCCCAAGGTTCCAGCCCCACAGGCAACAGGAAGCTGCCACAGGGTCCACGGAAGGAAGCAACAATATCCCTGTGCTGGTGAGTGTCGGAGTGGACCTGGTGGGCTGCAGTGGTGGGAAACCAGGAGAAAAGCAAATGCCTAGATTGGCTGGGGCAGGAAGGATGCAGGTGAAAGTTTCTAAGGTGTTCACCCTGCCTGTGCTCCCAGAACCAGTGGTGGACATCTGATTCTCGCTAAGCCAATCAAATATGCTCCCTCTAGGACTGTGAGGTCACAGGGCGGGTAGGGCTGCCACCACCAGGAGCAGGAACTAAGGGCAGAACAGAGGAAGCTGCTTTGTAGAGGGATGCAGAGACACGGGAAGGCGGGGCCCCAGAGAGAGCAGCTGAGAGACGCACAGTGGTGAAGCCGTGAGGATGGAGTAGGGCAGGGGAAGAGGGGCACTTGGAGGAAAAGGCTGAGATGCTTTTCAGGTGGGCAATGCTCTGGGCACAGTGCTAGATTGAAGTAATAATCTGCTAAAGAGGAAGAGACTGACACTGCAGGAAGACAGGGACGCCACCCAGAGGGACAGGGCTGAGCCCTATTGAAGGAACTGGCTTCAGTCAAGAAATGACCCTTCTGCTCCCACGTCACGTTACCTCCCTCGGGCCCTGCCTGAACCATGACTGCTGTGTAACCTTGGTACCCCTTCCCCGCAGGGCTCGGTTCTGTCACCCCTTTCATCAGCCTTCCTGGCCCCCAGAACACCCACCCTCACTCCCCTTCCCAGACTGCAGTGGTCACCAATCACTTGGCTCGTGAGGTATGTGCCACCTTGTGGGCTGGGCCCCCTGGTCTCCTGGACCTCCCTCTACCTGGACCCACTGTGGGGCTGCGGGGAGGAGTGCTGGCAGCAGCCCTGTCTGTCTAGGCTCCTTTCCTCTTCCCGACTGTGTCCCCAGTTCAGCTCTAACTACTCCTTGGACACAAACACTGGGCGCCTCCCTGGCGCCACGCTCCCAGTTCCCCCAATCCCTGGTCCTGGTGAGGAAGGAAGGAAGGAAGGGGATGGGACGCTCACCTTGAGTGAGGAGCAGTAGGCCAGGCTGAGGGAGGCCAGTGGGTGTGGAGCTCCGCACACCAAGCCCAGGGCCTGGGCCGATTCCCGCCCTCTCACCAGGCAGCACTCGGCCATGTCGAGGCTCTGCAGCTCCCGCAGGCCCCTTAGGGCTGAGTATCTTGCATCCGTCAGCCGCTGCAGCTTCCTCAGGCTCAGGTGCCACAGGCGCCGCAGGCCCCAGCTCACAGCCAAGAGTGCCCCGTCAGCCAGTTCTGAGCAGCCGCTGAGGTCCAGGAAGGTAAGGCCTGGTTGCTGGTGGCAAAGGGTGGCCACAGCCTCTGTGGAGAGGTCCCGGCAGCTGTGCAGGCTCAGCTCCTGCAGCTGCAGCCCAGCCACCTGGCCCAGGGCCTGCAGGGCCTCGGGTGGCAAGCCAGTGCCACTCAGGCCCAGGGCGTGCAGCCTACCAGCCTGCTCCTTCACGAATTGCAGCAGGTTGCGGAAGGAGAGTTGGGAAGGGGAGGAATCCTGGGGGCCGATGGAGCCCTGGGCTGGGCCTGGCTCGAAGGTGAGGTGGCAGCCGGCCAAGGAGAGGCGCTCCAGGCTGAGAACTCAACTGCTGAGCTGGTTGAAGCTGAGATCAGTCAGGTCCCGCAGGCTAGCCAGACTGAGCTCATGGAGGCCGCTCAGTGCCTGCTGGACCCGCTGTGCTGTCTTGGGCTGAGCTAGCAGCATGCCTGACGTGAAAAGGCTGTTGCAGCCACTGAGGTCAAGGAAACGCAGGGCCGGGCAGCCCAGGATCAGGGCCACGAAGGAGGCCTCTGTGGGGCTGCCCAAGGCACAAGCTCTGCAAGTGCAGGCCCAGGTGGTAGGCAACAGACTGCAGCACCTGGTGTGAAGCCGGCGAGCCATCCAGGTTGGTCAGGCTGATGCAGCAGATGCCCCTGAGACCCAGGCTCTTGACGGTCGGAAGGGAAGCAGAGGACACGGGGATGTTGTACCTACGTTGGCCTATGGGACAGCAGCGGGCCTGGGGTTAACCCTCTGGTCTCAAGAGTGTGCTGGCCATCGGGTCTGGGGGCAATTCACTGGCCAGAATTCGAGGGCAGGTCAGGGAAGGGGTTTTCTACAATGGGGACCCACTGTGGTGTGTGGTGTCATGTGTGCTTGAGGGGGTGCTGTTGGGAAGTGGAAGCTGGGAGGATGGGTCCCACTGGGGGTCCAAGGGGATGACTATGAGGGGAGGACAGGAAGGTTAGTGACGGACGGGACTGAATGCCTATGGAGGGCCTGGGCCAGAGTGGGGACTTAGCATGCTGAGTACAGGAGGGCTGGGGGGGACCTGGAGGAGAGCCAGAGAAGCCCCCCGGCAGCAGGAGGACAAAGTATGCTGGACCTCAACTTTTGGGACTTTCAGAAGGTGGCCCTGAGACCCATGGACTCGGCTCCAAATCCAGGTCCTCAGCTTGGCCTTAGCTAAGCAGTCAGCCTCCCCCACTTTCGCGAGAGCATATAAATAGCCCTCGGAACAGCTGAGGGCGGGAAGAAGGTACGCAGGTGTTGCTCAGCACAATCCCCCATGGCCCAGATGCCAGAGATCTGGGACAGGCAGTGAGGCCAAGGTCCCCTGGTGGCCACACACATTCAGTGTCTCAGCCACATGAATGTTTGCAAAAATGGGTTTTGTGTGTGAGTGAAAACGTGCTCATGCACTGAGTGTGGTGTGCGCATGCGTGGGGGCGTGGGCGCGCTCACAAGTGTAGGCCCTTCAGGCTCGAGAGTTCAAGATGTGCTTGTGAGCCCTGGGGCTCTTTAGAGGGTCTGTCGTATCTGTCCAGGTAAGGAGGGAGAAGCCTCCCGTTTCTGTGGGCAGGAGTTCATAGGATGAATTTCAGAGGCAGGGAGGAAGCTGAGTTGGCCCTGCCGTAGAGGAACAGGGGAGCGAGCGCGGGGAGCACACAGTCGGAGTTGGGTGGGGCCGGGAGGCAAGCTCAGGGCTAAGTTGTTGTGGGAAAAAGCTGGCTTGTTTACGAGTTTGGGGAGCCTCCAGTGAGGGAGATGTTTTCGTGGAACCTTCCCTGATCTTGTGCCAGAAGGAGCCAAAGGACAGTAGCTACAGGAATGTGTGGAACTGGTCTGTGGGGGGAGGGAGAAGAGGACTTGGCTTCTAAAATCCTAGCCCCATTTCTCTACCCCTGACCAATGCCCAGGTTGCAGGCAAGTGGTACTCAAAGGCTCTTGTTTTCACAAGCAAGCTCCCCAAAAAACCTGTCCTGTGAGTAACGGCAAGAACAAGCTGACATTCCTTGCTTGTTCCCCACAGAACATCATCAAAAAGGAACCAGAAAGGTAGAAATGACGCCTAATACGCACTCCTGTTGATAAGATACTTATCAACAGGATTCTCCCAGGAAGACGCACGGAACTCATTCCCAGGTGTGGAGAATCAGCCTGGCTTCTGCCCCAGAGAGAAGCAGCTGACTATGGCTGTCCTCACGGGAAGGAGGAGCGTACGGTAAGAGGGAGACCAGCGCCGGGCGAATTTCACGGGAATCAGGGTGTCAAACCAGGTTCCCATTTCAGACCCTGTGGTCAGTATGGATGAGAGGAGCTCTCCCCACAGATTCCCCGCGTGGACACTGGGAGACAGTGGGGTAGTGGGGACTCCGAGGACCTGGGTCCCTCTCTCAGATTTAAGGAGAGCTGGGGAAGATCTCAGTGTGTGAGGTTCGGGAGGGTACCGAAAAGATCAGGGAGAAAAGGTTCTAGAAAGGAAAGGTAAAGCGTGCCTCCAGCCCTTTCAAAGCCCTGCAGTGACGACAGATGAGCCAATCTGATGATGAGTAGAATGAACTCTGGCTGGGGGAGTGCAGAGCGGTGCTGGTTGCCAGGCAGCACCTGCCCCCAATAGTCACATGCCACCCCCGCAGGCCCCAGCTCCAGCAGCCTCCAGTCTTCCTTCTTTCCCTGTCTTCCTGAGCCCTGGCTACCAGGAAAGTTCTTCCCTCTCCCAACTGCCTTCCTGTGAACAAGGTAGATGAACAGCCCAGCGTCCAAGTACAGGGCTGGCAGGTGGCAGCAAAAGCTACCCAATAATGGGGCAGGGCCTGGCCTAAAGGACTTCCAGCTATGGGGCCAGGGTGAGATTTTAGACTGCCTCCTTGCTCCCCACTGTTTTTCTTGGTGGGGAGGAGGAAGCCTCTAAGCCATCACCGAGGTGGTCTACCTGGGACTCAAATACAGGAGCCCAGGAGCAGCCTGTTAGGGATAATTATCATCTGTGGGGGCAGAGCAGCAGGCTTCTGGGTTCTGGTCCTTGGCCCCAGTGTAGGAAAGTCCCCCTTCCCAGGCCCTAGGAAGATGCTTCTAAAGGCCTAAGGGAGGACTACACAGGTACCTGCTCCAGCTTCAGCCGCCCCATCACAGAGGGGCCGACTAGCCCCCTGGGCTCCTCCCTTTCCAATGCCGGCATCTTAAGAGTAAATGCGAAATCATTTGGAAAATGCCCTAAACTTGCTAAAAGCAATACATGTCCCTTGACTGTGAGAGGCCAGGACTCTGTCATAACTACTGAAGTCCTGAGCTGAGATGGCAGGCCTGTGTGCAGACTTGAAAAGCCATCTGACGGAGACGTGGCCCTCCTGTCTGCTGGCACAGGAATCCAAAGTTAACACGCCTGTTTTCCAGAAGCCCTTTGAGAAAAGATATGCCCTGGTGCCCAGGGGCTTTGGTCTCCAGAGAGGAGTCAGACCTTGGGGGTCATTTCCAGAGGCGTTATAGACGCCTTGGGCAGGAGAAGGCCGCAGGGGGTGGGAGCCGTCCTGAGTTCTTCAGTGACCAGCCCAGTGGCAGGCAAATAGCACCCCCGCCCCGGTACGGACAGAGCCTGGGTGTATTGTTGGGGTGCTGCCTTTGTCTACCTTCTTATTTGAGAAAAAATGGAATTAAGTGGGGGCAGGTCAGGGAGAATAAGAAGTCGCCAAGTCTAGTATCCTAGCCTGGCCTGGAGCCATATAGGCCCCAGCTTGGCCTTGGTCAGCCAGAATCTTCTGTAGCACCTACTAGCTGGGGCTCCACCTCCTTATCAAGCTGCTGAGCCCTGGGAGATGGTTCCTGCCAACAGGGTTCCGCAGATTGGTCTCTGGGACATGGTGCCGGCAGGGCCCTAGATGCTCAGGTATCTGTGGCCTGGCTTCCCAGCACTCCCAGCCCTGGGGGTGGAGTGGGGGACTGAGTTTTGCAGAGGCACCAAACGGGTCTTTGTCAATGTTCTATCTGGAGTTCCGAGTTAGCTGGAGAAGCCCCAGTGCTAAAATGGTAGACTCTACGATCCCAAACTCTGACCCTGGTCTCCTCCTTTTCCTCCCTCCCTTACTCCTATACCAATCTCACCTTTATCCCCGGGGACTGACTGCCCACTTGGCTTCTTCTATGCTCTCCTTCTTTGCTGGACTCCAAGAGGCCTCCCCCGGATTACCTCTCCTCAGGGTCCTTGTGGCCCTGCCCGTCATGCTGCTGTCTGTGCCCATTCTCCTTGCCCCCTGCCTGGCCAGGGATGATGAGACCGCTGCCTCCTCTGGGTGTGTGCTGGGGATACAGAATTCTGCCCGAGGAAGCCGTGGCCTGCCCTCGTGCCTGCACTGTCAGCACTGGCCTGCCCACTCCCACCTCCTCACTGCCTCCCCGTCTCTTCTCACTCCCCTCAGACTTCTCTCCAAGCCCACTATCTTCTCCAGCCCCTGACGCTACTGTAGCTCCCTCCCCTCACTCCAGCCTTCTCCGAGATGACCTGACCATTTCAAAAAGAAACCAAAGCCCCTTAGGTGGGAAGGCCCTCCCTTTTCCCTGTTCACATCCACCAGCCCACCCCTGGCAGGACCGATCCTAACCTCCTTCCCTCTCCTGCTCTTTGGTTCAGGGTGACCCCCTTCTCCCGGCCTACTGAGCCTGTCCCCCACCCTCTCCTCTGAGAACCCTGCCTTTCCACTGCTCGTTCCCCAGAGTCCACAAACACCCCGGAGTCTTAGCAAAGGCCTCCCTTGATCCTGCATCCCCTCTTCTCACCTTTCACCCCCTCCCCTCCACTGTCAAGCTTCTTGGAAGCACATGGGCGCCCACACCCACTGTGGCCACCTCTTTACCATGGCTTTGCCCACTTACCCCTCCACCACTGTCCCCACAGAATCACTCATTCCCAACAACAGCTCCTCTCTGGCAAGGTCACCAGCATCTGGGGGCTCCCCTGAAGACTTCCCACAAGTGTCCTCTCTGCCATGCCATGCTGCCTGCTATGGATGGCCAGTCTCCCCTGATGCTCTCTCCCACTGGGGGTTCTGAGACTCTGCCCTCTTGGCTCTCCTACCTTCTAGGCTGCTTTCCATTCAGGGTCACCAAAGAAGAGAAAGACCCAGTCCGTAGAGGGTTATCCATGGGTTGTTCCATTCTAACACACACACACACACACACACACACACACACACACACACACACACACACACACACACACACACACACACACACACGCAGTTTCCCTCCACGTGCACCCAGCAGACTCCATCCCATTCCAACTACTTTGTTTTCCACACCTTCTTCCTGAGCACCAGATACTGGGAGCCACGATCTGATGGACCTCTCTCCAGATTCAAGGATGCAATATGCCCAAATCTGAGTTTACTGTCTTATTGCTGGTCTCTGGCCCTTTTCCTAAACTCTCAGTGCCCTCTACCACATCACCTAAGTCAGAAATCTGGGAGTCATCCTAGACCGCTCCCTCACATCCACAGTGATGAAAGTCCTTTCCATTCCATCTCTTTGATACATTGTGATATGTCCCTCTGCTCCCCCCTCATTGCTCTGCCTTAGTTCAGGTGTCCTTATTGTCTGTCAGAAATACATTAAGCAGTTTCCTCCTGATCAGGGTCCGGGCCCCCAGTCTCCCTGGCTCCAGTCTATCCTTGGTATTGTCACCAGGGTGGTCCTTACAAAAGGCAATTGACGACACTCTCAGGCCCTTTGATGGTTCGCCACTGCATAGCACGGAGACTGAGCTTCCTGACTGGCACTCAAGCCCTTCTATTGCCTCGTGGCCCCTGGCTGGGTTCAGCTGTTTTCTGTTTATTTTTGGGGGGGGGGTCTGACCCCTCACCTACTCCGACTTGTCTATTTAGCAAGCATTTATTCCTCCCTGGGGATTTCGCCCGAACATCCCCTTCTCCATGAAGTCTTTCGTGAATCTTCTCTCTGCAACCTTGGTGAGCCTCATACGATTTTGAGTGCAGCACCCTACCCCCTCCTTTTGGCTTGTGCTGTCTCCCTCTCACTATCAACTCTGGGTGCTGTGTCAGCCCCAGCCCTGCACTCCTAGGGCTCAGCAGAGTGCTGGGCACAGACAGGCAGTATCACCACCTGAGTGAGTGAGGCCCCTCCCTGTGTCTCTGGTAACTTCCCATCTTCCTCCTGCTGTGTGAATATTCCAAACCTCTGCTGAGGCCCTGGCCTCTGCCTCCTACTTACTCCCCTAAGACAACCTGGCCTCCACGGTCACCACACAAAGAACCCACCAGCCTTTAAGGAACTGCCTCAGCAAACAGCTTCACATTGCCGCCCCCACCCCTTCACTTCCTCAGGAGAGGTGACATCCTCTCCATCCTACCCAAGACCAAGCCTTGTTCACTGAAGCCTGTCTGGCTGCCACCTCAGGTGGTGGCTGCCATTCCTGACCTCTCTCCTCCCTACACTCACTAGTGACTCCTTCAGCACATAAACACATTAGCGATTTCTCCCAGTTAAAATCCTTTGTTTAGCCCACCTCAACTTCTCTTTACAATTCTATTTATTTTCTTCTTTTCATGGGGAAATTTCTTGCAAGTGAGGTCATCCTCTACATATCCTTTGTTCTCTCATTCACTCTTCAACCTACCTGGCCTTTTTCCCCAGATGCCAAATGTTACTGAAGCCATTGGTGACCACCCTGTATGTCAAACATCACGGACACTATCTGTTCTTTATTTTCTGGACTCTTTGTGGGATTTGACACTGTTACTCATCCACTCAACACTTGAAATGCTCTTCACCTTTGACTTGTGTGTCCTCCTCTCGCTGGGATCTCCTCAGCCCCCTCTGTAGGCCCCTCCTCCTCTCCGTGCCTTTGGACTGGTGTCCGCTCGGGGCTGTTCTCTGTGGCCTTCAGGGCTCCTCGCGCTCTCCCTAGGGGAAGGGACTCAGATCCATGGCTTAAACGCCCACCTGTTCTTTAATGACACCCACATATATATTTATTACCTAGACCCTTCTCTTGAATTCCTCTCTCAGAAACCCAACTGCCAACTGGATCTCACCATTTAGATGTCTTATACTTCAAATTTTCAACAAGTTCAAATCAAATTCCTTTAGACACTAAGCTCAATGACACTGGAGAGAGAACTCAACAACAGACCCTACTTAAACACACACATTTAATATATGACAGACGAGGCTTCCAACTCATTATACATAAATGGTATTTGGGCTATTTGAAAACTAATCAGTTTAGCTCCTTACCTTAGAGCATAAATCAAAATAAATTACACCAATAAAAAATATAATTAATATAAAAATTCAAACCATAAAACACAAGAAACAATTTTGCTGTGAGCCTAAAACTGATCTAAAAAGTAAATTCTAATTAAAAAGAAAGACACAAAATATAAGTATATATTTATCAGATCTCTGAAGAGAGGCAAAGGATCTCTAAAGCAATGGAAGAAATAAGAAAGAAAAGAAGTTCAGAATCAACAACCTAGAAATTTAACCTCATAAACAAACACATATCTACAAATCAAATTAAAAGGCAAATATATTAGGAATGTATTTCAATAAATATGTAAAAGGTTAATCTCTTTAATTATAAAAAGTTCATACAAATGGATAAGAAAAATACTAAGACCCCATAGCTAAATGGACAAGGAACACAAATACACACAAGAGGGAAATGCAAATGGCCAGCCCACGAGAAAACTGCTCAACCTCAGTGATAATCAAAGACGCCAAAATTGAAACAAAGAGCTATCGTTGCTGCCCTTCAGACGAGCACAGATGCCTGCATTCACCTCCTAGTGGGCTGTCTCCCTGCACTCCGACTCGCCCTCTCAGTCCACTCTGCACTGCAGATGTCTAAGACACAAATCACCACATGTCACTCCCCTGCCTCATATTTCTTTAAAGGTCCCACGGTGATAACCAGGAGAAAGTCCCAGCAACGCCACCTGGCACCTCTCTTGCTGTCTGACCCCTTTCTAGCCTCATCTCCCACCACTTCTCACACACACACCTAAGTTCCAGTCATAGGGAACCTGTGTGGTCGTTTCCAGACCTATTTCACATTTTGGTGCCTTCACCTGTGCTGATATGAGTTCTGGAAGACCAACCTTCATCCTCATCCTATTCCTTCAGGAAGCCTTCCCTGAGGCTGCCAGTCTCCTTCGATGTCCTTCTTCATGTCCCCATGGCACCCTTCATTCCAGTGTCACAGCACCGAGCACACGACATCATGATCACTCACATATTTGTGTTTCTCCTTCACTGGACTAGGAGCTTCTCAGGGGAGTTTTATTCATCTGTAGAGCCCCAGCACTGTACCCAGAGCCAAGCATGTATGAATAAGTATGCAGGAATGAGTGGATGAATGATGCATGAGCAGGGCCAGGAGCAAGCTGAAGTGAGAATGGGCCAGGTGAGGGCGGGTACCTTACCTCCCGAAGGGCATTCTGGGCTGCACAGCACCAAGCCCGACTCACGAGGGAGGCCTCTTTCTGATCTGACAGAGGCAGGAAGCTCAGAATATATGTGAGCATCTGAGGGAAAAAGAATGGGCATTGGGGGCTGTTAGTGCTGGTGGGGGCCTTTGGAACCTTCTCCAGCTGATAGCACAGTAGGTCAGAGGGGACTAGAGCACTGGCTTCTAGTTCATCTTGGATCCTAAGCTTCATGGAGTCTTCACTTCCCCTCTCCAGCCGCCAGGTATCTTTACTGGGAACAAACCTCTCCTGAGCACCACCTGGATGCAGGTTTGCTCTGACTGATAAAAATCAAACTTCCTGCTCAAGTTGGTAAAAAGAACCTGGGCATTGGGACCAGATAAACCTAGTTTAGATCCTTATTCTCTCAAGTGACCTCTCCGAGCCTTATGTTCCTTATCTATAAAAAGACAATTGTAGTGAGATTTAAATGGGTTGTTGTGACAATTAAATAACATGGTAAAGCGTCTTGCATAGGATCTAGAACACAGCAAATCAGGTGTTCCTTCTCTGATCTTCAGGAAGTTACACTGGGACCGCACTCTTTTCCCATCTTCTTCACTGCCAACTAGGCTACTCAGCTGACTGTTAAGATTCTCAGCAAGAAAATCTTAACAGCCTGGTAGGCTTAGACTCTCACTCCACCTACGCTCTGTGAGGCTGGGGGTGTGTGGGAGTGGAGGCCCTGTTAGGGACTGGGGAAGGGAGTTGCCTGTGAGACCAGGAATTATCTGATATTAACTATTCTTTTCTTCTGGAATCTTCCCTCCTTGACTTCTGTGATGCTGTGTTTTCTAGGGCTCCACTCACCACTCCAACTGCCCTGTTTCTGGATTCTTCTGTGGCTCCCAGGGTTCAGACCTGGGCCTTTCAGTCTGTTACTTTCTAGGATAGTAAATTCATTTGCATGGCTTTAACAGTTACCTCTATAGGAATAACCAGCAATTCAATATGGACATATTGTTTTATCATTAATGTGCTAGTTTAGTATTGCCAACTCTCCACAGGATTCTTCATCCAAATGTTTTACCATCACCTTCATCTCAACCTCAGTCCAAAGCAGCCCCTCCTCCCAACTTTCCAGCCCCTGAGCTTCAATGCCAACAGTGCATCTCACCTGATGATCCTGATAATACTGTGTACTCTTCATGCTCTTCTGTCCCTTGCTCTCAGATATAGGTGTAAAGCACAGGCTTTAGGCCAGGCTAACTTAGACTCATTCAAATCCCAGCTCCACAGATTCCTAGCTGTGTGACCTCAGGCAAGGTACTTGAACTCTCTGAGCCTCAGTTTCCACACCTGTAAAATGGGGATATTAAAAATCTAGATCATAGTCTTATGATGGGGATTAAATTATATATACATAATATAATTTATATATATATATATATATATATATTTAATAGATATAATATGCTTCACATCTAGTAGGTTGTCCATAAATGGTTCCTGGATTGCTGTTACTAATATTTCTGCCTTTGAAAACTTACCACCTTAGTAGCCCAGATCTTCATCACCCCGCCTTCATTCCTTCCACAATTTCCCACCTGATCTCCCTGCATCCAGGCTCATCCTTGCTAATCATTCCTCACAATGCAACAAGGTTAATTTTCCTAAAACACAGCTTCCATCTCAGTGCACTCTGATGAAAACCTTCAGGGTTTCCCAGTCCCCTCAAGACAAAATCTCTTCTCCTGGGTCAGCACTACCAGGCCTCCATGCCTGACTGGACCCCTGATTCCAGAGCTTCCACAATCCAGTCTCCTCACTGTCCTACAAACACAGCATGTCTATTTCCTTATTTCCTTTTGCCTATGTGGACCTTTTCCCCAGCCCACTCTGATCTCTTCTTTTCTTCTCTGATCCTAGTACACAGAAGGTACTCAGTCAGTACTTACTGGATTGCATTAAGTAAGGATGGACAGTCTTTTACCTCTATTTTCACCAAAGGTTTGCTCAAGGAAGGGGTGGGAAGATAAAGCAGATCATTACTGAGAGGAGAATGACGGGAGAACAGCCTCTGGACCAGGGAGGCTAGGCATGGGCAAGAGAACACCGATGGGGACTGGGACTGATCACGCCCCTATCCCCAAGGGGAGGCAGGAAAACCTGACTGAGCCGAGGTAAGATAGTGGCCATCCTGTCTTCTGGGGCTCAGCAGTCAATCCAAGGAGCAAAGGGAGGGCAACAAACCTGTCCTCGCTGAGGGGAGGAAGCATGATTCTTTGAGCTGCGAAGCGGGGAGGCCTTTCTAGAGGGACCAGAAGAAGCAGTGATAAGGGTGGAGTGGCCACCCAACGAACCCCATCCCAAGGAGCTACTAGAGATATGACTGGTCATCTCTGAGATCTATGGGGATGGAACAGATATCCTCCGGGGCCAAAGGGGGAAAGGATGCCATCGCAGGGGGCTCACTGGGGTTGGAGCAGTCCTGTATTTGCTAAGGGAAAGGAGCACCATTCCAAGGGCTGTTGGGGAAAGGGTGGCCTGTCTCCCTTGGGCTGAGGGAGGGGGTTGCCAGCTCTCAGGGGAAAAGGGATGAAGAGACCATCCCAAGAGGCCACTGGGGACAAAACTTATCATCTCTCTCTAGATAACAGCGGCAGAGTGGTCTTGCTCCAGGCTAAGGAGAGGGAGCAAACATCCCATGGGGTAAAGGAAGCAGGGATGGCCATCACTAGGGGTCGAGGGAGCGGGGAGCAGGCCTGTCCCCGGTGAGGGAACTCAGAGACCATGCCCGAAGTTGATGGGAGGGGGCAGTCTGTTTTCCACCGCCAGGGGAAGGGGCACCCTTCTCTCGGGGAGGAGGGAATAGAGCGACCATTCCAAGGGGCCAATGGGGATAAGATCGGTTTAACCTTCGGGGATGATGGGATGGAGCGGACATCTTCCAGAGCTGAGGGGGAGGGGCGGCCATCTCAAGAGATGCAGGGTAGGCAGAGGCCCTGTCCTCGCTGAGGTGACAGAGCGGCCATCTCTTGGGGCCGATGGGGAAGGAGAGGATGGTCGCCCAAGGTAAGGGGATGGGGTGGCCCAAAGGCGGGGCCGTTACCCATAGCCAGCAGGTCCTTGGATCTCCCGGGCTGGTTGTTTCCGCCAGACGGGCGGGGCCAAGGCGAGCTGTCTGACAGCCGCTCCCCACAGCCTGGGACCCCGAGGGCGGGGCCTGTCCCGAGCTAGGCCTGAGGGCGGCCTCCTCTCACCTCCAGGGCAGAGATTCAGCCATCGCATCCCTGCCGCCTCCGCCCCCGCGCAAGGCTTTCTGGGAAGTGAAGTCCCACCGACTCTGGCGGGCGGAGCTTGGGAAGGAGGTGGATTTCCCACTTCCGTCCCAGTTGCTTACGATTTGGGTCTGCACCGGAAGTGCCTGTGCAGCAGATGTGGTACCAACTGAGTGCTGTTTCGGTCGCCCTCCCATCTTTCCCCGGCTGGGTATTTGCGTCGTACCATGGCGGTAAGGAGGGCGAGTAGGGCGGGGTCCGCAAGGCAAGGCACTCTCGGGGGACCGGGAGACTGAAAACAGAGGAAGGACATCAAGGGCAGTGGGTCGGCCAGAGGGAGGTGCCATCCGGTGGCTGGACCGTACTAGATTAAGCGGGGGAGTGGAGAGGCGCAGGAACGTACCAGAGCTGGTGCCGGAGAGGGGTGGGCGTCGGTACCAGACAGTGTCAGGCCTAGCTGGAGATCTGAGGGGCTTGAGGCGGGGTAGGCGTTAGCCCAGATCTGGTTTACTCTAGCAGAGGCCGGAGAGGGTCGCCATTCAAGCCCCCTCAGGGATCCCCTCTGAAGGGTTTGTCAGCCCAAAACTGGGCCTTATCAGAGGATTCAGGAGATACCAGCCTAGTGTTGGATTGTTCCCAGCCCGGGCAGGAGGCGGTCATTGCTGGGTGTGCTGGAAAGATGCTGTCAGCCCTAAGCAGGATGGTTTGGAGGAGGGGTGGACATCCCAAGAATTGTGCTAGCTTTGAGCACCGCGGAGACTCGGCTGAGGTGCAGATGAAACTCTGTAGCTAACCGGAATGGTGGGGAGGATAAGGAAGACCCTGGCTGATGAGGGTTCTGACAGCATCTCGTCATCTCTCTGCAGCCCAAGGGCAAAGTGGGCACGAGAGGGAAGAAGCAGATATTTGAGGAGAACAAAGAGACCTTGAAGTTCTACCTGCGAATCATACTGGGGGCCAATGTAAGTGCCTCCCTCCTTGCTTCTGTGCCCACCCAATGTTCCATAGCCCTCAGCTCTGTTTGGTGGGGTGGAGTGGTGGCAGTGTATGACAGCTAAAGCTCCAGAAGAAAACTCCAACTAAAAGTAAATGAGAAAGGATCGTGGCACAGAGAAAGTGCTGAATAGTCAAAACAAAAAACCAAAACCGAAATGAGGGTGTGAGTCTCAGATTGACTGGAGAGCCCTTCCATCCTAAACACACAGGGGCTTCTTTCCTGGGCTGAAATGTCGGAGGGGAGTCTGGGTATTCAGGAAGCAGACCTCTTCCCCCAACCGTATAAGAAACGACTTGTCTTCTTTCATCACCTGGCCTAATATCTTGGTCAGAGGTCCATGGTTTAGTAAGCTTTTTAGATTTCTTTTTCATTAAAAATTAAAATTTTTATTATTTATTTATTTATTTATGGCTGCATTGGGTCCTTGTTGCTGTGCATAGGCTTTCTCTAGTTGCAGCGAGTGGGGGCTACTCTTCGTTGCTGTGCGCGGGCTTCTCGTTGCGGTGGCTCCTCTTGTGGAGCACGGGCTCTAGGCACGTGGGCTTCAGTAGTTGTGGTGTATGGGCCTAGTTGCTCCGCAGCATGTGGGATCCTCCCGGACCAGGGATCGAACCAGTGTCCCCTGCATTGGCAGGCGGATTCCTAACCACTGCGCCACCAGGGAAGTCCCTAGTAAGCTTTTGATCACAGCCTGATCCTGTGTCTGCTTACAGGCCATTTACTGTCTTGTCACCCTGGTCTTCTTCTACTCATCTGCTTCATTTTGGGCCTGGGTAAGTGTCCTGCATCCTGGGAAGTGGGTAAGCACATAGGGTCAGTGGCTGGCCTTTGATACCCCCATTCTTGTTCGGCAGATGGCCCTGGGCTTTAGTCTGGCAGTATACGGAGCCAGCTACCACTCTATGAGCTCGATGGCAAGGGCAGCCTTCTCTGAGGATGGGGCCCTGATGGATGGTGGAATGGATCTCAACATGGAGCAGGGCATGGCAGAGTGAGTGTCCCCCGCTGTCAGCCCAGGTGAGCGGCGCCAGGGCTGGGGTGCTGGGGCCCAAGACCCACAGCTACCTGTGGAAGGGTGGAAGGGAGTTGAACTAGGGCCCATATATTATTTTTGTTTTTATTTTATTTTTTTTGCGGTACGCGGGTCTCTCACTGTTGTGGCCTCTCCCGTTGCGGAGCACAGGCTCCAGCTGCGCAGGCTCAGCGGCCATGGCTCACGGGCCCAGCCGCTCCGCGGCATATGGGATCTTCCGGGGCACGAACCCGCGTCCCCTGCATCAGCAGGCGGACTCTCAACCACTGCACCACCAGGGAAGCCCCTGTTTTTTTAATTAAAAAAAATTTTTTTTTTTTTTGGCTGTTCTGTGCGGCTTGTGGGATCTTAGTTCCCGGACCAGGGATCGAACCTGGGCTCTCAGCAGTGAAAGCATGGAGGCCTAACCACTGGACCGCCAGGGAATTCCCCGTCCACTATTTTTGGCCCTTGCAGCCTCCCTTCTATCCACAGGCACCTTAAAGATGTGATCCTACTGACAGCTATTGTGCAGGTGCTCAGCTGCTTCTCCCTCTACATCTGGTCCTTCTGGCTTCTGGTACGTGGGTCGTGGGCCTCCCAGCGAGGAGCTGGGGCATCTACCCCTTCTCTGCTTCCATTTCCTGCACCTGGCTTCAAGCTCCCTTTTCTCTCCTAGGCGCCGGGGAGAGCCCTTTACCTCCTGTGGGTCAATGTACTGGGCCCTTGGTTTACAGCAGACAGTGGCGCCCCAGCACCAGAGCACAACGAGAAACGGCAGCGCCGACAGGAGCGGCGGCAGATGAAGCGGTTATAGCCACTGACGTTGTGGCTACAGGTTTCTGGGCCCCGGGTGGCTCTATCAGGCTACATGGCCCCCATGCCAGGAGCAATGAGGGCCTAGTCCAAGGGCCAAAGGCAGTCTAAGGTATAGGATTGGTGAATAAATGGCTTACAATGTGGATAATGGCTGTGTGGGTGATAGAGATAAGGCAGGAACAGCCAGTCCTTTGGTATTTTCCTTCTGCTACAGGCACAGTGTGGTGGGTACTTTGAAAGAAGGAAAAGGCTCTTGGATTGGCTAGGAAAACTTTATTATGCTCCACGTGTCCAGGGAGCTCATACATGCACATGCACACTCACACAGGGACACACAGCTAATACTGCTCACGGCACTGGCCACGGACCATTCTCTCTTCTGAGAATGCACCCACTGGCCCTCGAGTAGAGAAGAGGCCCAGAATTGTGCTCTGGTCCCTCCTCACCATAGTCTCCTGCACTGCAGGCTGGGGCCCAGATAGATAGGTATCCTGGAGGCAGCACCTTCACACTTCCAGGCCAGGACCCTTGCTCAGTCCTAGCGCCTGTACCAGGTCCTCTCCGAGCCCGCTCTTCAACGTCCGTCTCACTGCAAGGACAGAGCAGGGTTGGAGGGGGTTGATGGAGTTAAGGTGGGCAGTGGGTGTGTGGGGAATACTCACAAGACTTGCGGTTGCCACGGGAACGCTTGCGTTCCCGAGCAGCTGAGGCACGAGGACTGCTCTTGGTCACTGACTGCACCAGCAGGTCCATGATCTCATCTGAAGTGTCACTGGGTAAACTGGAGCCTGGAGGTTCTTCTGGGGGTACAGTGCAGGGCCCCACTGCTGTGGGCATGACTGGGGAGCTGCTCTGGACCATGCCTGAGGGAGCCAGATAGGGAGGTGAGGCCAAAGCAGCCCCAGAGCCCACTGCCCGCAGCGGCCGTAGGTCCCACCTCTGCTGCGGCGGCCATGTGTGGTGTCCTCGGGCTTGCTGGCCAGCAGACTCTTCATGCTGGCATGACTGTCGGCATCACCCTCTCCTGGCCCACTGCTCACAGCCACTGGGATAGATGGGTTGCTGGGGGTTTCCCCAGCCGCCACACCTGAGAACTTCTCTGTCTGGAGAGAGGAAAGGGGTGGGTTGGGAGTAGAGGAAGAAAACCATGGGGGTGGCAGTCAAGACCCAGAAGGGACACCCACCTCGGTGATCATGCGTCCCCGGGTCTTGTTGCGCTCACGGTACGTGGCCCGCTTCTGCTGCTGCTGCAGCACCCGGTCCCGGCAAGTCCGATACTCCAGTGCGAACTCCCGCAGCGTGTGGCAGAACTGCATGACGCGCGCCTCACGGGCTGTCTCCGCTGTGTACCCCAGGTACAGCAGGAAGGCGTGGAACCTAGCCAGGTTGGGGTGGGGAGGAGTGGTGAGTCCTGCTTGGGGTTTGAGGGATGGTGGTAGCAGTCCTACCTCTCTCTGGCCCACGCCCCCACCTGTTGCAGACACGGCGGTGCACGACCCTCAGCATGGCAACACGGCGGGTACAGTGGGCCAGGAAGTGGGTGAGGCGGGCACGCAGGGCTGGAGCCAGCTCGTGCTTGGACAAGCTCCGTAGGCTCTCTTCGGCTGCCCGGCTCCGGCGCTCCAGCTGCCCCAGGTTCTCAGTCAGCTGCTCGAAGTCCACCTGGAAAAGCAGGGAGTACACATGCTGTCCCCCCACAGAAAGACACCACCTGAGCTGCCTTTGTGCTGGGCTGACTAGCCTGGGCCCTGAGGACACAGCCGAGATCCGGCCCCTGCCCTCCAAAAGCTCACAGTCTGATGCAAGAGACAGACAAGTCCATTTGATGCAGTGGAGAACGGAGAAGGTTTCTTGGGATAAGTGGCAGCTAAACAGACCTAAAGACAGAGTAGGTGTAGCCATGCCAATAGAAGAAAGAGTTTCTGCCAGAGGACACAGCCCATGCGCATGCCTGTAGCCTAAGCAAGCCCTGGCCCAGCAGGTGCTGACCTTGGCACAGCGGATCAGGGCAGGAATTTCTGAGTAGAGGTCGGAGGAATCAGGCCGGGTCTGGAGGACCAGGGAGCAGAGATGATGCAGCAGTGACTGTCGGTGCACCGTGTCTTTCACCTCTGACACCTTCTCCAGGTAGCTCAGCTCAAAGCCGCTGCTCTGAAAGGACCCCGTCTGAGCCTGAGCCTGAGCCTGAGGCTGGCTGGCTCCAGAGCCCCGGGCCCCGACCTCATGTGCTCTCAGCTCACCTGGGAGCCGTTGAGGAAGTTGCCCACAGCCAGCAGGGTGGCCAGGATGCAGTGGAAGGTGGCATTTTGCACCAGCTGTTGCATGCCCACTTTCAGGTCAAACAGTGGCTCTGCAATTTCCTGGTGTGGGAGACCAGGGACTCAGACTACGTGGTCATCATGCTCACCTGTCCCCACTGCCTGTCCCATCCCATGACCCAGGTACCCGCTCCATGCTGTCATAATCCAGCTTGAAGGCCCAGAGTTGTAGGCGGGCAGCCAGGCCCCTGATGGAAGCGAGAGTCATCAGGAAGTTCTCGGCTGGGCCCAGGGGTATATCAGGATTGGCCAGCTGGGCCTCCTCGATCTTCTGCCGCTCCTCCTCTGTGGGCATCATGGTCAGTAGCTTCTGAGAATGCACCCACCGGCCCACATAGGCCACTCAGTGCTGGCCTGAGGCCTCAGGTATTGGTCTTGACTCCTCCCTAGGTCGTCTGGGGCAGCCCCAGAATCTGGGGAAATGCCAAGCCCATGCCCACCACTGGAGGGACAGGAAATGCCCACTGACCAAAGGAGAGGGCCGGACTTGCTGCACCCTTAGCTGGGTATCCCTACCTCAATGCCATCCTTGCTGACAGCAAACTCATCAAAGTTGAGCAGGGCAGCCTTAATGACGTGCACAGGTGGCAGTGTGGTTAGGCCAATGTTGATGGCGTTGCTGCGCTTGGGGTCCAGCACGGTGGTCACTGTGCGGCGGCCCTCACCAGCTTTCTTTGAAATTGGGGGAAGGGCAGTGTAAGATTGGGAAAGGGTCTAACTGGGGCAACAATCTAAGAGGGCACACTAAGGCCCCACTCTGAATGGCTGAATGGTGGGATTACCCCACAACCAGGGATCTGGGATGTGTAAGACCTTGGGATGGGCTTAGACGCTAGTTAGGGTTGGGCTGAATCCTTATTGAAGGACCTCAGACAAGTCGCTACTCCTTTCTTTGCCTCGGTTTCCCCATGTGGGAAATGAGTGGCAGCCCCAGCAGTTCAGACACTTGAGCTCTTATTGCCTCCCCTCTCCCCTAGGGTTACCTTGCAGACGAGGGCACGTTTACCTTGGAAGGCAGCACGTCCTTGGCACGGGACTCGAACAGGTGTTCTAGCCGGGCTGTATCCACCGAGACAGGCTCTAGTGAGGCCCACAGGGTGGGGCAGGGCCCAAAGCGGCTGCCAGAGCCTCCATGGACCCCAGCCAGCTTTAGCTCCCGCCAGAAGAGTTTTACTGTCTTCCTCTTGGTGGGAAGGGCTAGGCCATCAGGTGCTGAGGGGGGAAGAGCGGCAGCTGGGGGTGGTGGTGGGAAGGAGCTTTTGATGGGTGGGGGTGGTGGCGGCGGAGGAGGTGGGGGGCCTCCCGGGAGCGGGGGTGGCGGGGGCGGGACCCCTTTCCCCGCCTCCACAGACTCCGTGTTCAGCACGTCCTGGTCTTCATCCTCCCCCAGGTCTGAGAAGTCCAGGTCCCCAATGCAGAGGCTGGGTACGCTGGTAGGGAGCTCCCGGATGGGCTCAGCCTTGGGGCTTGGTGGGGCCAATGGCTCCTTGGGCTCTGGCTCGAGGCTGTGCCGAGTACGGAGCAGGATTTGAGGGGCAGCGCTCTGGGGTGTTCCGGGTGCAGGGGCTGGTTCTGGGGAGCCCTGTAATTCTTGGGTGTCTAGAAAAATGGAAACAGCCGTCAGTGTCACGTCCTCTGTGGAGCAACAGGGCAACATGGGTGGATTCTGCCCACCCACCTGCTCACCTGGGTGTCCATCGATATCATCGTGCATGGCTCCAGCCAATGTCTCTGCCTGGCCCTGGGCCAGCGCAGCCTGCTTTTCTGTTTCTGCTGCTGCTACATTCTCCAGGAACCGGGCTCTGGGGGGAGGGACTTGTCAGTGAGGGTGTCTGACACACCCGAGCCCAGGGTGGTGCACATGCCTTAATGGGCCCCTGGGCACTGCCCCTAATTGCAGGCACACACAGACACACAGGGAACAGTCCATGCGCTGAGCAGACCCGGGACCTGCCCGCCCCCCCCTGCCGCCAAGGCCAGCCCCTGTTCAGTCTTCCACATCTGGGGAGGGTCACTACCAACCCAGTATTCCCAGGTCAACATACGGGGAAAAGTTCTACTTAACATCTAACTTGCAACCTTGCTGCTGTTCATGTTCACTGTTCTGATTCTAGACAAGGACCCTTAGAGCAGGGGGAGGGGATACCTGTCCCAATGGGCACACCAGGTTTTCCCTCCCTTGGCATGTCTAGCAGCTTCTGAGAGCTATGGCCTATGCCCAGAAAAGGGCCTGGTAAACGAAAGGCACTCAGTTTATGTTGAAGTCATAAAGGTGATCCCATCTCTTTTTTGGTCCCTCCAGCCTCTGTCGGCACTCAGTCTCTGTCCTTCCCTTAGATGGAGGCTGCTCCTCCACTTCCGCACCACACAGCACCCTAGATCCCCTCCCAGCCCTAATCCTGGGCTTAGGACACAGGAGAATGGGCTCCAGGTTGGGAGTCCACGTCCTCATCACTGATCAAAGCTGTTAAGGTGTCAACTGTTAAAGCACTGGGACCTCTATGACCCCAGTGAACTGTTTCCTAGTGCTTAGTCCTTGGGTAACTGAGGACACATAAGTCTGGGAGAGTCCCCCAGCTCTGGCTGCATCAGGCACATGGGACCCCTGCTGGGGGAAGCAATGCTGAAGCCCTGAGCACATGGCAGGCCTGGCAGGCTGGCCTCTGTACTTACTCCAGCCTGGCCTGCCCAGTAGGGAACTGGGGGACAGATGGGCTCTCACGGGCCCTGGGTAGGGGGGAATGAGAGGAAGAAATGGTAATTGTGGTACGTGCTTCACCCCAAAGCCCAGTTGCTCACACCCACACAGAGCTGGGCAGTGATATC